TCTATATAATATTTCATATAATTATTAGTATGGAAGCTTGTAATTATCTGTACACGTTTGAAGTAGTAAGCATGTTTGTATCAACAAATTGACATTAATAATTAAAGCATACTTGTTTCATTTTGACATTTGACACCATTCATTTGTACCTGTCAAACCATTATTTATATCTTGTTAGATTTGTCTCAATTTTTTTAAAATATTAATTATCAGAATAATTTATTAGCTTTTATTTATTTATTTATTTTTATTTATCATCTTTTTCTTTTTTTTTTGGTGTTCCATTGGATCAAAATATTGTGGATCAAAATTGAAAATTACACGTTTTGAATTTTGATATAGTTAAAATAAACTAACTTAAAAACCGGAGGAAGTATTGAGCAAAAGATTATTTGCTTACTACCTCCGTTACATATTAGTTGCAACTTTGGAGTATTATTTGTGAGATATAAAATATTTATAAGTTGCAACTAATATGTAACGGAGCTAGTAGGTTAGATTTAAGATAAGGTCAAATATTAGGAATATTTACAAGATATTCGTTTGATCAACATCATCATCACCATCATCTATCACAATTATTGTTATATTATAAGATGCTGAGGTGATGTCGGTGATGATGTTAATGTCATAAGTTCATAACCAGTGGCGGAGCCAGGATTTATAATTCGGGGGGACAAATTTTGGAGGTTAAAGTTTCGGCAAAAATCTCAAGAAAAAAATTGATCAACTAAATTGTTTAATATTTATTTGAAATCACATATGCCAATTATTTATATATGGCAAAAGAGGAATAAAAAAGTTTTATTGTATATTAAGAAAATTATCCAACAAAAATGAATAAATTTATGTTTGTAAATCCCGTTATGTAATCACATAATTGATATATACGAATTAATTACCTTATCATAAAGTCAAATAATTATCGTTAGAACAAATTGATGGTAGATATGAAGGGTCTGGGTTTGAGTTACATTCGAAAAAATAAACTCAACTTTCTCAAATCAATCATATTATTACATATGTATTTCGTATGTATTAATAAAAGTTAAAACACAGTTACAAACAATTAATTAATAGTAATCTATTTATTAGAAATGTAAAAAAATAGAGTTTAAGCACATAATAAAATTAAAAATCCTAAAACAAGAAATAGGAAATGAAAAATAAAATTAAAAAGACTATTGAAAATTAGAGTAATCAAAAAACAAGTAGGGGAAAAAAAACAAAAAAGCTGAAAAATAGTAGAGTAGGGAATCGAACCTAAGACCAAGGCACAGCCTTACTAAGGACTCAACCACCAAACCATATTCAATATTGTGATATTTACTGTAAGTATATGATATTTATAGCCTTTTACTGTATTTTCTTGATTTTTTTTTTTAAAAAAAAAAAACTTTTTTTTCGAAAATGGGGGGACAACTGTCCCCCCTTGTTCTAATGTGGCTCCGCCATTGTTCATAACTTATAGTGCTGATAAACTTTTCAATGAAGTACGGAGTAGTTCGACCACAAATCCGTACTAATTAAATTCAACAATAATATCAAGAGTTTACTATATATTGGATGAAAGTATAAAGGGTTATCTAGCTAAGTTTGATGTGGCATATATATTCTTTGGCATCACGAAAGATTTGACTATGTAATTTAAGTATTTACTTAGACAAAGGGAAATTAAATGTAATGGGTTGAGATGCATGGGAAATAAAATTTAGATAAAAATTAAGGGATAGTTTTATGAATATTTTATGAGAGAAGGAAATTAAGAGCTAAACTGAATTGAATTGATTGGAGTTGAACTTAACTTAACTGAACTGATTGGAGCTGAATTGAACAAGTTTTAAGTAACGTTTTAATTTTATCATGATCATGCAATTCTAATACTAAATCTACATCATTTATATACATTTTTGCAATTATGATGATGTAATTCATAGTTACAACGTATAATGTATTACCTTCCTCTAATCCACCGGCTAAAATTCTCTCATCTTTTTCCTCAAAAAAAAAAAAAATAAAAAAAATCTTTACATAGATTTCTTGAATTTGTGAATTGAAATAATGCAAGGTGTGACATTAATGACGTGCTACACGATACTCATCAATGAATTTTCGCTGAATAACTTCAAATTTCCGCTGATAACGTAAAATTGGCTTAGGGATATTTCGGCTTACTAGCTAATTTATAGAGCACCTTTTTCATCAATTAATAAAAAATGCTTTCATTAAAACATCTAAGAAATATTAAGTGTATATAAGAAAGTCACAAAGTATACAAATATATAGATGGAATTTGATCCGAAATTAAAAGTATCACCTCAAATATTTATAGATAGAATTTGATTGGAAATCAAGATTAGCACCTCAAATATTTTGCTAATTAAAGTAGCCAGCATAGACATTTTAAATTTTTTTTTTTGGACACAAAGTAGCCAACATATACATTAATAATACATAGAAACAAGAAAATTTAGAGTGAGATCATATATATGTAGAACAAAAACAACACTGCCAAGGCTTTTTCACATACACTCGCATACAATATAATGCTCTATAACATTACATTTGCATGCGTTTAAATTTTATTTTACATAAAACATAAAAGGCCTCATCAGGGCAATTATTTTATTATACAAACGTATATATAGTAAATTAACAAGCTGAAACTCCCGAAGCTAGATCAAGTATTAGTAGTAGCATATATATATGGTTTAACCGATTTTAGGAGTACGGATCACAATATCGTACGAATTGACCCAAACACAAACCCGATCACACCTAAAGTCTTTTGTAGTAGGAGTTCCATCAAGTAAAACGATCGCTTGCACGTAAGGATTCTCACTTTCTATTGTTGCAGCTGCCTCATGCCCATTTTTCCCTACTAGTTCTGGCCACTCATTCTTCCCTACATACAATAATTACAATAATATAATTGTAATAATAAGAAATTAATACGATAAAAATTTAAAATTGTAGCTTATAAGAAATTAAAGCTATATGTAAATGTATTAGATACCTTGGCATTCAGACATCTTTCTTTCTTAATTTACGTTCTTTTTTATTTAATTTATTTATCGCGAAAATATTCTTTGAATTTTTTTGATGAGTTTTTAGGTTAAAGGAGTACATCTATATATAGTTGAGTAAGCTTAAGCTACAATTGTCAAACTTTGATTTAATAATATTTTGGTCTATGTTAGCAACTTTGGTACACAATATATACGGAAGCTTAAATTGCCAATGTGAATAACGATCTTTTGAATAAAGTATACTAACTTACTAAGTATAAGATTAAGAATGGAGGTTCCCATGTAATTTTGGTCAACTTTGGCATGCATTGTACAATTAATATTGTTTCATTTTATTATTGACTGTTCATACGTGAATTCTTGCATTCGTGTTTGAGATAATATTGAGTTGGATTATATTGATGTACAGCTAACTAGCTAGCATTAGACCCGCTCAGATTTTCATTTATATATTTTTTGAAAAGAAAATTACACAAGATTAGCGTACATAGTCTTATCTGTTACCTAAAACACCAAAATATGATTATACCTCAACCCTTACGGTTTTTTTGGTCCTATATTTGCGGGTCAGACACTTTGAGAATGAGGGGGAAGGGTAAGAGATCCTCACCCTCAAAGTGTCCTTAGTGGGGATTTAACCTCCAACCTTAAGGGTGAAAGGTGACAATCTTACCAATAGACCAAGCTTAGCTTGGTTGTATTGGAGGCATTGGGAGTTCCTTTGTTAAAGGGTCTCCTAAAATCCTACTATTTTTTTATCAGTAAAATAAAATAAAATAAAATAAAGAAGAAGAAGACAGGCCCAACTACCTTATAATTAGTTCACTGAAGCCCAAATTTAAAACTTCTAACTGTGTGGCCATGGCCCAATAACTAAGTATTCAGTTTATATTCGACATAACCCAAAATTTGGAAGCTAAAAGTCTCAAACACTCAAACCACCCTTCATCCATTATTTTGAATAGCAAAAATATTTCATTAATTAAAAGTCATACGACAACTACAATAGACATTCGACGTTAACAAATACATAAGATATTGAATCAAATAAAATTTTCCTTCATAAAAACTACGATAAATGCAATATTAACCCTTCATCCATTATTAATTTCATTTTATTACTAAGTATAAAAAATAATAATACTCTGTATGATCTTTACTCGATCTTCAAATAGGAAAAAAAAAAAAAATTTAAAATCCATAATTCAATTGAGTTAATTATAATATATTAATAAAAAAGGCTAATCCATCAAACTTTAACATGTGTTACTCTTACAATTCTCATTTGTGAAAAAAAAAGAAAATTCAAAAATAAATAAAAAGGTTTTTTTTTTTTTTTTTTTTTACGGACTATAAATTCATATAGAATTTTTTATGGGATTAATTCCTAGTATACTGTACAATGACATGTGTACAATCTCATTTAACAACGCATTACTGTGTGGCATGGTTATATATTGAGACTTTGACCAGCCACAAAGTTTTTTTTTTTCTCTAGTTATCATATTATGGACTATAAATTCATATAGAACTTTTTATGAGATTAATTCCTAGTATAGTGTACAATGACATGGGTAAAATCTCATTTAACAACGCTTTACTGTGTGGCTGGTCACACCAATAATAACCCATTTCCAAACACAACCTATTACCATCCGACTGTCCGAGTAACCTTGCACCGATCGAGTAACCCTAATTAAGTAATCTCGGTTACACGATGTGACCAAGCACATATGATAGTTTGTGGTCGGATAAAAAAAATAAAGGAAACAGTGCGTCTTGTGTGTGGCCACTTTTAAAAGAACAAAATAACTCCTATAACACCGATCCAATAACCCCTGTAATACTGACCAAGTAACCCCTATAACACTGATGAAGTAATATCTACTTCTATAATATTGAACGAGTAACCCCTATTACATTAATGAAGTAACCCTTGTAATGAATTGTCATACCGTGTGACCAGCTATCGATAAGACTTTTTCCTATGCATGAATTTTTTTATTTTTTATTTTTTATTTTTTACGGAGTATTTTTTTAATTTAACCCGGAAAGAGGTGAGGATAAAGTCTTCACAATTCAAAACTTATTTCATCACAGTTAGCGTGAATCCGAAGCTTAATAATTTTAGAAAATTTAGTTATATAATTCTGCTTACTTTTAAAGCTACCTTAACATAACCAATCTCCCATGTATATAATATATATGACGAATTATACAAATCCTTCATATCAATCAATTTTAGAGAAATTTCTCGAGATATTACGGTTAGTTTTCATCTATTTCAATCGATTTTGCACTAATTCAGTTATTCTTCTGATTAAATTTTATGGGTTTATGTATAATTTCTGGCAAAACCCTTTACACAATTTGATTTATGTTCTAAATTCTGTAAAGTTACATTTTTTTTATTTTATTTTTTTGAATGTGGGTGATTTTGGTATATTCTGTTGATGATTTTGACTACTTTTTTTGGCTTCAATTTTGCTTAATTGTTGATGTAAAAGTCACTATCAATTTGATTATACCCACAAAAAAAAATAAAAATTCCCACTGATAATGTTACTGTTAAATTTTCAATTTTTGATATAATAATGGTTTAACTTTTTGTATTATACATAATTTTAAAAAGTTAATGCATTTGTACGGCCTTTGTTAATGGAGGTTTACATAGAAATTTAAAATCACATCTTTTGGTGCAATTTTTTATTTTTGAAGTTTGTCTTGATTATTAATACATTATGAATTACTCGTATTATCTTGCAGAAATATCTAATTATGGTGCTACCACCGGATGTTAATTCACAACCTAACTCAACTCCATTTTCTGGTAAATTTCTTAATGTTCTATACTCATTCAATCAGTTTGAATGTATATTGATCCTTGTAATCGATTGTAATGAGCGTGCCGATTTTTGTTTAGTAACAATTCTGATAGTTAAATCTATTGTTGTGAATCATTGAAGATAGAATTAAATAAAGTATGTTTTGATTGATGATCTTTATATTGGTAATGGTTATGAATTTATGACATCTTTGGTTTATATAAATGCAATATTAGCTGGTTGCTAAAAGAGATAATGTTTAGGGTGTCAAAACTTTTATTGAGATGGCTGCAAAATCAATGTGCTGATTTGTTAACTTAGGTTATGAATATATGATATTATTAGGATTTATAAGACATAATGTTGATTAGTTATGTGTAGAATGCGCATTATTAAGTCATTGGGATTTTAATTGTTTTAGGATTGGTGTTTTTAGTCCCGTCTTTGATATTATGTTGATTTATTATAATACAATTGGTTTCTAGATTGTGCATTATTGTGTCATTGGGATTTTATTTTTAGATAGGTGTTTTAGTCCTTTTTATAGTCTCTTAAGCGGATTAGCTTAGTACGGAGTACACTAGATTAGATTGGTGTCTTGGTAGTTTCTTTCGCAGTTTTGCTTGTGCGTCTGTTCATACTTGGAGTATAAATTTTACACAACAATTTTTCAAGCTAAATTGAGGAAAATGGCAAGAAAGTCGCAAGATTTATATGATTTATAATCTGAAATCTGTTTTCACATTACTCTTTCTTAACAGGATTTACTTTTCCAAGTAATTCCATAGACTTAGGGAAGGCCTTTAGACACCCTCAACTCGAATTTGAACCTTTTGGCTCATCAAGCAGTGGAACGTTTGGTCAAGCACGTCGATCTTTTTCCTGTTCATCATTCTCTTTTGATTCAAGCAATGGAACTTCTGGTCAAGTCAAACAAAGTCCTTTCGGTAAATCAAACACTGAAATTTTTGGCCAAGCACCTGGGACATCAAATTCATGGGGTGCATTTGGATCATCAACGGCCGTACTTGGATCAACAGATGCTTCTCCATCTTCTTGTGGAGGTAACTAATATTAGTCTTCTGATCAATATGCTCATGTGTTGTGTTTTGTGTATATAATCATTTGTTTGATTCAGAATTTTGATGTTCAAGCTCTTTGACTATAGTATAATTGTAGGTATTTTAATAGTTTAGCCTCTTGTGTTGTTTCCAGTGAAGTTTAATGATCATGGATGTAACTTTGTGTTGTTGGATGTACATTAAAGAACTTAATTCTCTTGGTGTTCAGCTTGTACTACTGTTGGCAGCTTCAAACAGCAAGGAAGTTGCTTATATCCTTTCACTCCAACAGAGGATAAGCGGGAAAACGATTTTGCAATTTCACCAAAGCTGCTCATGTCAATATCAGCTATGACTGCTAACTGCAACAAGAGCCATGAAGAATTAAGATTAGAGGATTATGAGAAGGGAAACAAAGGTAACCTTTTCCGTTATCATCTTCTTTTCTACATACCTGTGTACTCACCTATATATATATTATGTCCTCAGTTCCATTTAAGTACATTATTTAAGTTAACCCTTAGAAAAGGAAATGGGGAAATAAACAGGAAAGAAAGAACCAATTCTAAGGTTCAGCTTTAAATTTCTGTGACAAGCGAACAATTCTTCATCAAAAGTTAATACTCTGTGTATACATTTACCTCTGTTATGTAACTACTAGCATTTTGTTTCATGCAATTATTTGTATTTGGACTGCCTCATGCAGGTAAAATCTCTACAAGCCCGTTTCAGCCTGCATCAAGTCAAGCTCCCTGCTCACTATTTGGGTCTCCATTCAGTGAACCACCCCGCTCACAATTTCAGCCTGCATCAAGTCAAGCTCCCTGCTCACTATTTGGGTCTCCATCCAGGGTACCACCCCGCTCACCATTTCAGTCTGCATCCAGTCAAGCTCCCGGCGGCTCACTATTTGGGCCTCCATCCCGTGAACCACCCCGCTCACCATTTCAGTCTGCATCCAGTCAAGCTCCCGGCGGCTCACTATTTGGGCCTCCATCCCGTGAACCACATTGCTCACCATTCAAGTTTGGATTTGGGAAAACAACCTCTACATCACAACATGGATTTCAGAGTACAGGTATCATTCAATTTGGATTTATATATACTTGTAAATTTGTTATATTTCAAACAGGCTGTCATACACCTTGTGTTCAACTGTTCATCAAATTATCCAAAAAAGTTTGTGTCTTTGTTTTTATGATTAATATTTTTTACAACCTTTTTAATACTGAGATTTTTTCTTATGTTACTCTCTGTTTTACTTAACTAACTTCTATTATAGGTGTCTACTTTCCATCGTTTTCCACAACTTCAGATACATTTGAGTCTGGCAATAATGAATGAAAATCTAACCATAAATAATTCTATCTTTGAAGGTATTTGTAGCTCAATACCAGAAGCCGCGTCTAATGGGGTTAGATTCTGTAATTGCAAATGCAACCAAGCTAATGCCTTAGCTCGAATCAACCCAGCTGCCTTTCCAGTAGTACATGCCAATACTAGTGAGGCAACTCAAGGCACAAATACTTTTATTAGTTACCCTGCCTTTGTCACTTTCATTCATCCAGCTGCAGCAGCAAATGGTGCTCATTCAACTGCTTTTACATCTATTGCAAGCCCTGGAAACCCAAGTACGAGTTCTTTCACATTCGGCCCAAATGTAGGTTGTTCAACCCCTCCAAGTACATCAACCAACATAGCAACAGCTTCTTGCTTATTTCCTTCGTTGTCAAGTTGTCCCTCTCTTCAGTCTCCAGCACCATCATTCTCACATAACACACTAGCAGCTAATCAGGGCGCGGCTAGTGAACCTACCTTCTTTGGAAAGGCATGTTTGAACAAGCTTAAGGTAGAAGAGACCAATTACTCTTCTCGCGTTCCAAAAGGTCTTGAAATCATCGTAGAAAAGTTGGGTTTCAACCCATGGTCAAAAGGGCTTGCTAATGAGCAGGATTCTGAGAGCAAAGATATTCTTCCTTGTGAAGAAGCAAATAAAGATGAAGATATTATAGCACTTGCTGAGTTTGCTGTTGAGCAACAAAACGCATTACAAAAGGTCCATAATTTACTCAAAACATTATCCTTTTCTTTACTTTCTGATTTGTATTTTTCTGTAAAAACACTAACAAAGATTTACAATTTTAAGCAGGTTAAAAAATTTAAGTTTTTAAGTGTGGTTGCTGCATGCTTGGAGGCAGTTGGAGGGGGAAGGTATCACATTGTCCTGGATGCTACAAATACTCGCGTCAGTTTTATGAGCACGTGAGAAAGGTTCTATGCAGTGGTGTTGCGTAAGGGAACCGAACGTACCAATCAATTGACATTGCTCGAGAAATGGCTTGGTGGTGTTGCACCGTACTTTGCAACATCGTTTTGATGTTAGGGATCCTGTTTTTTTTTTTTTTTTTTTTTTTTTTTTTTTTTTTTTTTTTTTTTTCTGCTTTTGGGCTTTTGCAGTTTATTTTTGCTGATTATAGGTAGTAAGAAGCTGTTTATAAGCATATACGAAGTATATGATTAACTATTCCATGAAAATCCTTTATTAAATATATTGTGCTTAATTTACTTTATATTTTTAATAGAACTCACCTTTTACTATCTTATTTTCGTAATTAGGTCAAAATTGAAAAGGTAGATTAAATTAGACTAGATTCATCATGTGAATTGAACAAGTTGCTTTTAAATCCAACCAAATTCGAGTTGTCTTTCTCTGACTCTTAATTTTAACTTAAGTGTTTGTGGCAAAACACAACACTCAAAAAAGTTGATATGGTGCACAACTTATATTGGCCATAGCTAATGCCTAGGGCCTAACACTTTTAACCAAGTCTAAGTAACATAGATTAAATGAATAAAAGTGGTAAGAAACATAACAAAAGCCGATTCCAATCACCATTAATAATCACTACCAACCTACCAACCTATCCAATAAAAGTGCTAATAGAATACTTATTTAATGTGCACAATTATTTAGTATGTAGCACGAGGTTGCCTTAATAATTGAAGCACATACACATTGATCTACGTTACATACTTTATTATATTGCACTTGCATGCACGTAACAATATTGTATGCATTTATGCGTAGCCTAGCTAGCCAACCGAGGGAACATAAGCAACAATGTTGTTTGAATCAACAAAAAACAAAAACACGATCACATCTCAAATCAAACGGTATTTCTGAATCTTCATTTAGTACAATGGCCTTCACTGATGGGTTCTCATTCTCGATTGTTTCCGCTGCCTTTTTCCCATCTTCGCCGAGGAGTTCCGGCCACTCTTGCTTGCCTATAGAAGATGAATAAAAAGTTATCTACGGAGTACAACATAATGATACGAGTCATAAGACGGATATTATGATATTTTTATATGAGTCGTTTTGTTATGGTTACCTATATATATATGAGTGTCAAGGCTCCCTATTCCCTAATATAAGATGGCGAGCCACATAGAATATATACAACGATTAAGCAAAGTAAAGGTAAGTTTACCTGGACCGCACGACATCGTTCTTGCTCTTACTTGTTTAATTTGTGATGGCTTCTTCAAGCTCTAATAGTGCAAAAACCAAAGGCAGTGGATGTGGGTTTATATAGAATGAAGGAATAATATATTATTACAGTTGGAAATAAAAATGTATTTACCTAGCTTGCTACCAACGTTATTTTAAGGGCGTGAAGAGTGGATGAATTATTAAGATAATACTTAGTAAGTAGATATGAATTGAATAGTAAATGCTTTGTCAATTTTATATTAGGCAAAGGGCAAATGCTAAGTAAGGGTGCCCGCGGACTCGCGGAGCTTGCTTTCTCTATTTCAAATTAGCCTAATGCTAACGAGTGTCTCGGGACGCTTGCTTCCACTATTGTAATTTTATTAAAATTAATTGTAGTTTTTTTTAGAATATTTTTAATAATGATAAATTTTAGGAAATAGATAAAACTCGATTGATTTAAATAATGTGTTTGATTTAGGTAAGTTTGGACGTACTGTTAGGCCCGCGTAAGAAATTCCGATCCAGCTTCGATAGTTGTAAGTAAAACAGTCATAACTTTCTTGTTTCTTATCAGAATTGGACATATGACCTATCGTTGGAAAGCTCTTGGGATGAGCTACGTACCACCTCCAATTTGAATCACCTAAAATTCACTTCTGAATTGAGAGATATATACGTTTGAAGTCGGCCCTTTACCATTGTACTAGATTTCAAGTCACAATTAACGGTAAAAGTTTAGATTGACTTACATAATTTGTTGTAATTAATTGAATCATTAACTACAGTTAATTATAGATCCAAACGTCTAAGCTAAGCTAGGCTATGTTGAATGTACACTCAAATACATACTGAAATACGACATCATGACATGTATGATGTATCACACAACACATTTGAGATGTTCATCTCAATAAGTTTTTTATTAATTTTAACATTTAAATGTAATCCAAAATTCGTTAAATCTTAACTGTTTATTTTTAAAAATTATAATTGTCTTATTCAAACGACAATCATAGAATTATCCGTAAAATTTATTCAAATATTCATCCATCCCATGACTACTCAAACTAACATTATTATTGATGATATCAGCCACTGCATACTGGTATATAGTACTATATATAATAGCGCTTACATGTGAATTGCCTAGTGACGAAGAACTCGCTAGGCAGCTTAGAGTCATTAACAAATACAAGTACTAATGAAAGAAAAACAGTATTACAACCAAAACAAATTAAAACAAGAACACATAACATAAACCTACACACGCTAAGTACTAGCGTGCACATTTTATTATCTACTATTGGTATAATACAAATACTAACGTGCACATTTTTTATTATTTTATTATATATAGTGCACATTTACTAAGCTTGCACATTGTCTTACCAACTTATGTAGTTATGTAACAACGGGAGTTCGGACTACAATTCCTTTGGAATCAACAAAAATCCAAACACGATCACATCTAAAGTCTTGAGTAACAGGAGAACCATCTGGTAGGATGATCGTCTTCACAAATGAGTTTTCTGACTCTATTATTTCTGCTGCCTTTTTCCCATCTTCTCCGACTAGTTCTGGCCAAGCTTGCTTCCCTATAGTAATTAAAATTATCTCATATTATCGATAATCAATGATTATATTAATTAAATGACCATGAAACTAATCAAATTTCAATATTACCTGGGCAGAAGGACATCTTTTTTGTATCTGTTAGTGTAGTAAGTTTTTTTGTTGTTGTTTTTTATAAAAGAAGTAAGGAGATTATTTGATAGTACGTGTGTATGTACATGGGTTTATTATATATATAGACTTGTTAGGATAATGTTGATTGTTTGCAATGATATTTTTGTGGCTATTGTTACTTGCCTTGGATTCGTACGTCGTGCAAAATTTGTATGGTTGGCAGAAACTAAGTAGGTTGAACATGTTCTAGAGGATTGAAGTTATTTGTATTTATCCTAGGCATGGAAAACACGTGGTGTCCTACGTTTGAAAATGAAAGAAAATTAAATTGCTTTCTAATGAGTTACATGTAGTCATCTAGAGATATTAATTCGAGTACCTAGTCACTTAACGTTTGGTATATTTGAAAATTGAGTCATTCTAAATTCTAAATTATTGTGTTCGTACGATTTAACATCTTAATTGGATATCTTTGAGTTAGATTGAATCAGTCGCTCGGGTGAGTTTTTGTTAAGAGACTAACTCAATCAAAAGTTCAAGCTGATGATTGAAGCCCATAATCGATTTATATTCTTTCTCACTTGGATTTGAAATGTGGATGTAGCATGAGTCCCACCATACATAGTGTTTAATATTCCATTTTGAAAGAAGGAATTTATGAGATTTGAACTCGTGACCTTTGTGTCATGTTCGTTGGCTTTTGATATTATATTAATTATTAAAAGATCAATTCAACCAAAATCATAAGTTGATGGTTGAAGTTCATGAACAATTGCAATTTATATGCTTTATCAATCAGTTTTTAATATTGTTTTATTAATGGGTACATCAAAAGTCAAAATCTACCAACTCTGCCACGTGAATTAACCAAGCCCTAATCATTCATACACCATAAATGCATTATCATGACTTTAACTTCATGCAGCCTGTTCATTCTTAAATATATGTATGTGATAATTCATACTTATATGAGAACTGATTTAAAATTTAGAACATGTGAGTTAAAATTTAGAACATGCGAGTTAAAATTTAAAACATGTGACTCAAATTAAAATTTGGAACATATGAGTAATAATTTAGAACATTTGTGTGAGTAATATGTTTAGAACATTTGATTTAAGAATTAGAAAAAGTGATTAAAATTTTATAAAATTTGCTTTATGAAATTTTAAACATATGAGTAAAATTTAGACATATGATTTAAGATTATGAGCATATGAATAAAAATTTAAAACAAACTGATATAAAATATAGAAAGTGTGAGTAAAGAATTTTGAACATACGAGTAAAAAAATCGAACTTACAATTTAAAATATGGAACATATAATTAAAAATCTTAAAACACACGTTTTAAAATTTAGAACATACAAGTTAAAATTTTGGAACAAGTTATTTAAAATTTGTGACATAGAACATGTGAGTACTAAATTAGAACATTTGATTTAATTTAGAACACCTAAGGAAAAGTTTAGAACAACAGATTTAAAATTTAGAACATACGAGTAGAACATAAAGAGTGTTTTCATATAAGAAAAATTCTCACTTAAGAAAATTTCTCACGAGAGCCTTCCCATATATATATATATATATATATATATATATATATATATATATATATATATATATATATATAACACACGCTCTCTCTCTCACACCACAGTCACAGACTACACATTATTACGATAAAAAATGATAAATATAGCCCTTAGGGTTTGTATAAGAAGTTAAAATAGGACCTATTGAGGATAAATTGACATTAATTACACCGATCTGCGTGTAATTTTATCATAAATCTCCAACTTAATTTCATTTAAGAAGCATATGTAATGCTTATATATAACCCTAAACGCTACATAAATCATTACCCTAAAAAAATATTTATGTATGGAATAGTTTTGTGATTAATTAGAATATTATCAGAATAAACCATGCCAAGCTCATATTCACCTTTCCAAGTTCAGGCATCCAAGAGGTTTTAATATACGGAGTAGTAAAATAGTGTGAAAATTGGAAAAGACATCTCGAATTTCGAGGATAAGATCAAGATACGGGTGCACCCCCTATCGCATCCGACAACCCGGTTTAAAAGTCTAAAGCCCGAGTAGGCAACTCGTTAAGCTCCTATCGGCCAGAAGAGAACCTACACACAAAGAGAAAGGATTAGCTAACCCCGGGGTGATCCGGGGATAACCACTCCGATGACAAAGTCAGAAAGTGTTTAAGAAAGAGAAATTAGAGAGAGAAAGAGATTAAGAGAGAGAGAGAGAGTGTAATAAATGTTTACCATTAATGAGGTTTAACCTACTATCTATAATAAATCTCAAGACAGGTGGCTACAAAGCATGCAAAGCTTTTCCAGCCAAGTGTCAAGCTATTGTTGCCACGTGTCGAATACCGACAAGCCGATATGTCTGCTTTATAAAATATATCAGCCTATTTATCAGCTACACTGGGTTCATATCCATATTTATGAAAGATGTCAACCCGTTTCACATATCTCCCCATATAACATGTATCATACTATACACCTAACACATGTGAGATGTTCATCTTATCAACAAATCTGGACACATCTATTATATATTTATATTCTCTATAACCTTTTTAAAAAAAATCTCAATGGTTAAAGATACGTAAGATTTATCGTGTGATACAAACATGCATTGCCTGTCGAAGAGCTTTGTACAATTATTAGGTGCTCATTTTATTTATTACTCGTTCGATATGATTTATGTATATAATAATGCACATTTATTAAGCTAGCACATTATATTATTGTCGTAGCTACCTAACAACGGGATTTGGACTACAATTCCATTGGAATCAACAAAAATCCAAACATAATCAAATCTGAAGTCTTGAGTAACAGGAGAGCCATCTGGTAGGATGATCGTCTTCACAACAAGCTAAGTTTTCAGACTCGATTATTTCTGCTGCCTTCTTTCCATCTTCTCATTTTATCAAAGTAGTTCCTATGATGTTATATAAATGATACTCTATACATGTTTTTGACCATATATTTTGCTCTATGGCCCGCTCTAAAATTATAAACATTACGGAGTATAATGTAAAACATCTAATACTCCACTTTTAAATCCGGCCAAATTTGAGCTATATAAATGCTGATTTTAATACCTTTCTCCAAAAGAAGCTAATAAAAACACTTTATAGATTGAAGGATTAAAAGGTCGTGTCTAACACTTTAGCCGAGTCTAAGTAACATAGATTGAAGGATTAAAAGTTGTAGTGATCGATAAGAAACATAAGGCAGTACTAATATAATAATAGTCATTACAAAGTACTAATACAATAATAATGTGCACCTTTATTATTTGTAGTATGGTCCCTAATCTTAATTTAGCAAGTTAAACTACGGAGTATTATTTGTAGGAGTATTAGTATTGTAGGTACTACCTACAGACTAAATTTGACAATTACTTACTAATTATTCAATAACAAGAAAAAAAATCGAACACTATTATTTTTTAAACCTCTTACACTTACTATTACAACATTTTATCTGTTTTCCGACTATTCCTACCAATAATTATATCCATGGAACATGTTGTCTGTAATTTGTAAGTTCGTACGCGTTGTACCCATAAGCATTAAATTGGTGCTCAAAATTTAGTACGTAAATTTTAATTGTGGCTTCTAGAGTCCAAATAAAGGACTTATTGAATTTATGAAATATTATGAGAAGAGGGGCCACTCATACTTTATTATATCATATGTACATACTATGGTTAATTATTGATCTCAATGTTTAAGATAGGCTGTGTTTAATACACTCGAATATAACATTTATCTTTATCAACACATTTTGAGATGTTCATCTCAATACCTAGATTAAAAATATTTACTCTCTCCGTTACATATTACTCGCAACAAAAAGATATTTTATCTCACAAATAAGATTCCTTTGTTACGAGTAATATGTAACAGAGTAAGTATATAGTGATAAAAATTACACAAAATGTCTATCCCACGACACAAACAAACGTTATTATTGATGATATCAATCACATCAAAGTGGTATAGTGGCGCATATTACTTGCTTGCACTGCCTAGCATAGAGGTAGGGAGGTCAAGATGATCATTAATTAACTAATTATACTAATACATACAATTATTAACGTGCACATTTTATTTAATACTAGTATAATATATGTAGTGCACATTTACTAAGCTTGCACATTGTCTTAGCAGCTTAGGTAACAACGGGAGTTCGGACTACAATTCCTTTGGAATCAACAAAGATCCAAACACGATCACATCTAAAGTCTCTAGTAGTTGGACTACCATCTGGTAAGATGATCGTCTTCACAAATGAGTTTTCAGACTCGATTATTTCTGCTGCCTTTTTCCCCTCTTCTCCGACTAGTTCTGGCCAAGCTTGCTTCCCTGTAATGATCAAATTATCACGTATTATCGTTAATCAATAATAATACAGATCGATAATAGTTAAACAATTATGAAACTAATCAAATTTGCAATTTACCTGGGCACGACATCTTTTCTGCTTCTCTTGTTCTAGTATATAATATGGAGTTTATTTGATAGTGTGTATATATATATGTACATGAGTTTATTATTATATAGACTTGTTACTTGTTAGGATAATGTTGTTTGTTTGTTTGCAATGATAATTTTGTGGCTTATTGTTACTTGCTTGTTTGAATTCGTACGTGCAAAATTTGTATGGTTGGAACTTGGAAGCAGGGGTCCAAGTAGATTTTTAGTAGGTTGAATATGTTCTAGAGAGTTCAAGTCATTTGTATTTATCCTATGCATGAAAAACATGTATAGTCCTAGTTTGAAAGTGAAAGAAAATTATATTAAGAAGTACTTACTACTAATAATTTATGATACAATACTTTTAAAAGAGGTGTTAATTCATGTATATGGATTAGGTTTGGTGAGGCCTGATATATTTTAAATTTGAGTGATGTTAAATTATTTTGTTATATTAGACAAAATGTGAATTGAGTGTTTTAGATAATTAAGTTAGGTTAGTCGAGTTGGTTTTTAATACCTCTACTCTATAAAACTTGTAGCTGGTTCCATTTACACTTCTTATTAATGAGGTACACCAAAGTCAAAATCTACCAACTCTGCCACCTTAATTAATTAATCAAATCCAAATCATTCATACACAATTGTTTGCATTATCATGACTTTAGCTTCATGCAGCTTGTTCATTCTTTAGAGCTTAGCAGCACATATTTTTCTATTACAATGCAGCCATATATAATTGGTAATTTTACTCACTCACAAACCTATACATTACTGAGGTCATGCATAATGCATGATCTCAACATTTAGCAAAACAACACCGTGGAATATAATGATCAATTAATATAATCTACCATGGTTTCAAAATTCTATGCCACATAACTTTTTTTTACTAAATAATTGTACACTTCAAAAGTGCATTTTGTTTTATATTTACAAGTCAAACATCATTTAATCAAACCAAACCAAACTATATAATTACAATATAAAAGTACTGAATAATCTATGATATGCCTTTATTTTGCTTTCTTAATAAATCCTTTGAAAAATGTAATCCATCTTCAAAGTCAAAGTCCACAAACTCTGCCTCCTTAACCAACCCAAACCATTCATTCATACACAATAACAACATTTTCATGACTTCAGCTTCATGCAACTTGTTCATTCTTTAGAGATGCTCATATTTTTATTACATCAATTTGCAACCTTACTCAAAATTTGACTCTTTCTTCAATACGTACCGGCAAACCACCTTGCATCTTCGCCGTCAATTGAGGAACATACACAGGCTCAAACCCTTCCTTAACCACCGGAATCACTCGAAACCTCTCCAACACACCAGCCACCACCATCTTCATTTGCAAGAATGCCATTTCTTTCCCTAGACATATCCTAGGCCCGGCTTGAAACACCGGGTACATATAAGGATCTCTAGGTACAAACCTTCTCTTGACATTTTTTACCTCGAAACTCTCCACTTCTAGCCACCTCTGTGGCTTAAACTCGGCCCAATTTACCCCCCACAACTTCTCTAATCTCCCCATAGCGTACGGGTGGTAGCTCACCCTAGTACCCTTCCTTATCGGTATCCCACCTGGCAACATGTCATCCATTACAGCCTCTTTGAGGTCAACCGCGACAGGTGGGTACAACCTCATGCTCTCACACAATGCAGCATGAATGTAAGCCATGTCTTTAACTTCCTCGAAAACAGAACAATGCTCTTTCTTCTGTTCTCGCAGTTGTTTTATTTCATGGACAATTTCTTCCTCGACTGAGTCGTTATTATTAAGTAGCCAGAAGAACCATGTTAATGCAGCAGATGTTGTGTCTCGTCCTGCTAGAATAAAACTTATAACAATATCTGTCACAAATTTTTCGTCTGAATACCCTGATTTTAAGAACCTTGACAGCAAATCCTCTGTTTCTGGCTTCTTCGACGACATGTCTGATGTATTTTTCATCATTTCTTGCTTCTTCTTTCGAACAAGGGAGTTTGCAAATCCTCGAATCTCCACTACAGCTTGCTTAAGCCTTTTCTCAGACCCGATATTTAGAAATCGAGTAATTTTCCATATGACAGGAAATAAGGCCTGAAATCTGCTAGTACTGATTGTTACAGCTTCTTCGAAAGCTGCTGCAAATTTCTCTTCTGGTAAAGAAGGTGATAAATACTCAGGATCATATCCGAAACCAATCTTGCAAATATTGTCGAATGCAAATCTTCGGAGTATGTTTTGGAGATCAAGGATTGTCCCATTCTTAGCAGCTTCAGATAACATTGGCAGAAGCCGGTTTGTAAGCTCGTGTTCAACAACATCCTCAACAAATTTACGCAACGATTTAGTGTTGAATTCATAGCTAGCAACTTGTCTTTGAAACTTCCAAGTCTCACTATCAGCATTAAAAATTCCATCACCTAAAAGGTCTCCAAGAACACTCTTTTGAAAAGGGCCTTTTTGGTAGATTGGAAATCGAGTTTTTAGAATGTGTTCGACTACTGCAGGATCCGCGGTTTGTATACTCTTAACACCAAATGGACGGCGGAAGATGAAGGTGGAAGTCGGGGAATCGATCAGGAGCTTTGTTAGCCATTGGAACCTATCCTTCTGTTTAAGGGCTGCGAACGAATGACCGATTATAGGGTATGATTGAGGGTGATCTTGATCATTAGCCCGTGTTGTCCGTAACGAGGATGATTTACTAATGTAGAGTATAAGAACAAAGGATGATGGAAGGATGAGTAGTAACAAATTTCCAAGCTCAAACATTGCTTCTTGATTGTTTGTAATTTTGTATGTATTTGAATTTTAAAATGGACCTAAGTAGTTTAGTTAAAAGGGGAGGTTACAAAAAAATAATGCAGCCATCAAATTGGAAGAAACTTTAGACTTAGACAAAAAGCAAAAGAAAAAGAATGTAAATATGTAAGACATGTATAAACAATCTTGATTAATATTTCTTTAATTAAAGTAAATAGTATAGGTTAATGGTTGACCAACAAGTGAGAACGAATGAAATGAAAGTTGATATTGGTTTATGTTAGAGTTAATGGCAGACCTACTCATTTCATGAGGTTAATGTTTGGTGAAAGTTCGAAATAACATAATATATGCAAGTGTGATGTGTGAACTTTCTAAGCCACCTATAAATTCGTCCTATTATTAGTTATTACGGAGTACATACTACCTTTTTCTAATCTCCGAACATGCGAGAGCTTTCGTTTAAATTCTCTATTGTATTTTTTTTTATTCGAATGAGTTACAAAGATATTAAAAATTACAAATGGGCAAAGATAGAGGGAACTCGAATCGTTTTTAAATTTTCTATTATAGGTATCTCTATTGTTCATTAGTGCATGAAGTTCAAAGGTATCATAAAGACATAAACTTTTAAGGGTCCAATGAACACAACATGATTAAGACTAGATATTTTAATTTAATCCTAGTACATCTTTATATACAATTATACTTCTACATGAGTAAAGCAAACTTTGGCTACGTATTTAAAGTCGTTTCATGACACAGTCAGGGTCTTACTTTATTCATGGTGGTGATGTATGTATCCACTTCACAGGGTCTTCTCCTTTATGACACAGTTAGTGCTATCTGATTTTGTTCCGGGACATATTGTGGCTGATGCGGCTCATCGGAAGCGGGTTAAGTATGAAGCTCGTTGTCTGGCGATTGGATATGATTTCATTCCCTTCTCCTTTTCTTCGCTTGGGGAATTAGAGAAGGAGGCTGTTGCGTTGCTGAAGCGGATTCAGAGGTTCTCGACGACGCAAAACATTAGTGCTCGTGCTGCAGCTCATATATTCACTAGGGTATATAGGCTTTGCTACAAATAGAGGAATGGGGGCCTAAATTGTATCCCGACTTCCCACTAATTTATTGTAGGTTGTATAACTTTTTTTTTTTGAGATATAATAATAATAATGATAATAATAAGTCAATCATACACATACAAATCCAATTCAAACACTATATACTAATTAACTATTACGGAGTACTACCCAAAAAAAAAGGAATCTAATTTATTTAATGTTTGAATTAGCTTAGTTATATATGAAGACGAAATTTATAATACTCTATAAAATATAATTACTTTTTATTATTATAATTTATATTATTATAATTATTATTAGCTTAGTTTTGAATTATTGTTGTGTTGTGGCACCAAGTGTCAAGCTATAAGAACCTCGAACATCTCAATTTCAACGATAACGAGAAACTATCATGCATGCAACCACATAAAATGATGAACTGTAAAGACCTTGTTATTATTATTGCATGCAACATTATGTATACATTGCATGCAATGTATGCAACTCTCTTAATGTCATTTATGGTCACTTTAATACCTTCAACCAACTTTTTCAGCACCGTTTATAATATATCCCTCTATAAAATGAGTTTGTATAAACCTAAGTTTTATCATCTCCTTCAAAAAAAATAAATAAATAACCCATTTTAATAAAAGAGAGAAGAAATAAAAATGGGTATTAGGTCATCATTTTGGTGTGTGTTTTTGGTGTTAGCCCTAGTAGTAGTGTTGCATGCTAACGCAAGAGAAGTACCAAAACCTAAAAATGTTGAGAATGAAAACAATGAGGTAATAGTAGATCCTAAAAATGGTCCCAGTGGTACGGGTACTAAACTAGTTAATACAGACACGAACACAATTGATCCAACAAAAGAGGCAGCAAAAGGTGTACCAAAGGAGGGTGGTAATGATGTGAATAGTGATGAGAAAAACTTTATCTCATTTGCAGGAGTCGGAGCAGCCGGAGGAATTGGTGGAGTTGCCGGTGTTATCCCTATTGGCGGTTTAGGTGGTTTTGATAAGGGGTTCGGGGCTATGCCATTTGGCGGCCTTGGTGGAAGTGGTGGTGGCCTTGGTGGGCTCGGTTGCGCTGGTGGTGGACTCGGTGGTGCTGGTGGTGGCCTTGGTGGTGCCGGTGGAGGCCTTAGTGGTGGGGGTTGTACTCCTAGTGCTGCAACTAGTGGGGTTGTACCTCATCCTTGATGAATTAGTAGTTTTATGGATTTTATACTTGTATGTGTTTCTAAATTAAGGTTGAATGAAGGTTATGTTTTGTGGGTTAGTACGTGAGAATGTTAAGGTTGAGTTGGTGAAATTGTAGGTTTTTGTTCAAGTTTATTTCTAATTGGAATATGTGTGTTTTTAATTCTATGCATGCAATGTACTCTTTGAGTGTAGTGTCTCTTTTGGTGCATATGCATCTTTGATTTTGTTTCATGTGATTTCCATTTGTGATCGATCTTGCATCATTGCATGTAAATCAAATACAATTGGAATAAAAAGCTTATTTAGGTTTTTTACTCCATGTAATCGTGTCTCCTAATATCTGAGATACTTATTCTGTTTTACATTTGCGCGAATACTATCGATTTGTACCTATCACATTATGATGTCAAGTTTTCATTACTAAGATAAGAAATTATGAAAAAAATAACTTTTTCCGTTGACTTTTAGTTAGTACATGACTTTTACATTTGCCAATGCACAAATGTACAATTTAATCCATTATTTATTTAATTACAGATATGTAAAAAGTAAAAAAAATAGATATTGTGAATAAATAAATCGAGACGAATATAATAAGATCTCATGGCCATATTTTATCGATCCAACACAGAAATCAATAGATAAGGTCAAGTTGAAGAATGTGAATACTGAATAGTGTAAATTTAAAAGTGTTGCAAGCTAGACTCACAACTAAAAATAAATATTGGAAGTATAACTTGACAAATTGCCTATTACTACGTACTCCCTCCGTTTTTTAATAATTACGTGCTTAGTTTTGATCAACAATTGCCATCGTATTATTTTGACGAAAAAAAAAACTTTAATTATGGAGTAGCAATAAGTATAAATTATAAAAAGATTAATAGACAAAAGCATTTTCAATGACACTAACTTTGAGGTGTTTTATACAATTATTGACACCAAAAATTATAGTATCAATTGTTGGATTGACACCAATTTATGACATAAATAACAAAATTGACGTGGTTGATATTGAAAAATCAATTTTACTTAAATTTAAACCATCATAAAAGAATAAAATGCATTTTCAACATTCATTTAATCATTTGTTAACAAATACTAGTAGTTCTTACTGCACTCGAAAAATATCGTTTTGGGGTACATCTGAGTGTTTAATGCCTTTATGTCAACTTTTTAATTTACTTCAACTAGTGAGATAAGTTCGTGTCAATATTAATTTTGCTAATATGAAAAAAAAAAAAAAAAAACTAGACATTAAAACGAATTTTAAAAGTGCCATAAAAATAATAAAAAAATTGTCACAAAAAAAAGTACCATAAAAAACAAAATGGAGTGACGTAGTCACCTTTACTCCCTCCCAAAATAATTTTCCCTCGTTTATTCATCACTGTATGTCTGTATTCATTATTCAAGCTTCACTGAAACTCACTCCTCGTTTTTTTTTTTTTTTTTCCTGCAAAAACTATTTTGATCTTTCATAATTCCATACTAAAAAAACGATTCCTAAAGGTAATTCTTTAATTTCATTATAAATTATCAATTTTTATTCTTAAGCATTTATCATCGCTTCCATCAAAAGAAGACGCCATTGTCAAAGACTCATCGTATGTCTCAAATTCTTTCTAATTTGGGTAAGTAATCATTGTTTGTTGAAATTTTTTCTACACTTGCTTGATTTTGATTTAATTTTCGAATTATTTTCCGAGGATTTTGTGAATTAATTGTGCTTTATAATTTTCAAGGTTCACCCGAAATTAGGATGAAAGGTTGATTAATTTCATTGTAATTGCAATTGAATGGTTCTTTCAAAAAAAAATCTGTTGATTGATTGCAGGAAATCCTAATGGAAATTATGCAATTTTGGTTTTGTGGAAGGTTGATCAATTTCATTGTAATTGCAATTGAATGGTTATTTTATCTGTTGATTGATGGATTGATTGCTGTTTGTTTTCAATTTTACTCTGAAGTTGATGGAAGAAAGGATATTCTTATGTAAATTAGGGCAATTTTGGTTATTGCTGAATTCTGATGATGAATTTTAATTTTGGTTGATAACAATGGAAACCCTAATTGGCCTAATGAGACTTACGAATTCTGGTAAAAACCGATTAAACTCTAATCGAGAAGTTACAATCATTTTGTGGATCATCTAGGCTAACTTAGGTTCAACACATGTTTTCCACATATTTGATGTTGTCTCTTTAATCATTTTGAAGATTAGTGATGGTAGTGACATAGACTTATATTAACCTGTTATTTTTTCCTTAATTCGCAACTCGCAAGGATTCTTCAAACTTTACACATTGTTTGGATAGAAGGGGGATGAACATGCTATACCTCTGTTCTTTAATTGATTTTGAATGCTTTTTATTTGTCGTAGTTGTTTACTGAAGAACTTATATGTACTAATTATTGATGTATGAATTGAAGTTAAGATCACATTGGAGCTTGGTCAGATTGGCAACTGTAAGATTTCTGGACCGCCTAATAAACAACCTGGACTGTGCATCAGATTGAGAAAGGTGAGGTTTTGCAATGTTCAGAGAGCAGGTTCAGGTACTATAAGTCTCTAGATAGTAAAATTCACAAAGATTGAGAACATTATTCTCTGTTGAGAAATAGAAAATTTTGATAATGGTTAAGCGGTTTCTAATTCTATTGGTATATCTTTCTATCACAATTATAAACACCACCAGATTATTTGTACATGCAGCCGAGAGGGGTCTAGAGTTGGACATTGCTGTGGTTTTGAGGATAATGGTGTTGTAAGCCTTGGAAACTTAATCTGATGTGTATGAGAAAACGAGGCTATCAAGATGATCCATTTTTGTAAGTTTGGAGGATATGAGGTCCTCTCGTGGGCCTCATGGCCTATGAATTCTATGTGCTCATTGTGGACAAATGGGATCAATGAAACATGCTGATATTTATGATTTTGCACCATGAAAGGAATCGAAAAGTTTGGCAGTCCATGACATTTGTGGTGTTGGAATCTGCGTGGTTGTATTTTTTCTTTGGGAAAGGTTCAAGGGAATATGGCATTTACGGTTTAATTGTGAAAAGTGTCATCAAGTGTCTGTTTGGAGGGTGCTTCTTTGGAAGCTAAGCATTGTTGAAGCTCTTGTGCAACTGCTTTTGGTTGAATAAAGGGATTTGTGGCTGTACCCTTTAAGAAGAAGTTTTTGGAGCAGTGCTTTTGTCGGGTGTGGTCGTGTGATAGGAAGTGATTTCTGAACTAAGTTGGATGAAATATTACAGAACTTCTACTGCCAGACACTGGCAGAATCCTCTACTAAACCGTCATATACATGGATTTTCATTGCTGAAGTTGCCTGTAATATCATTTCAACCAAGTTCACTTTTGTTGGCATTTCAACCAAGGACTATTTTAGGACATGTGTCAGACTGGGTTTGGAGGAACTAGAAACAACCCATGAAGCAACGGAGCTGGGAGGCAGTCCACTTTGTTAAGAAAAAGAAGCTAATACTAGCTGGGATAACCTGGCTGGTAATTTGGATTGGGTCAGAACCCGAGGTTGACTGAGTTGGACCCGTTCCACTGCCCAATTCTAACCTGCACATGTGCTTGCCTGGGTCCTGGAGTCTTGGGAACTAGTGGTAATTGTCAATGTACCAATTATGCATCAGTCGTCACAGGCTCGCAGCAGGGTTCATTTTACTGCTCAATCAAGGTTAGTTTATCTGTTGCAACTTCTTGTTGTTTGGAGTTTGTTTTCTTATTATCTTCAGTGTGTTTCAACTCATATGCTGTTCAATCACCGTCCATACTATTCTTTTCATTGCAAGTGGACTGAATTTAATCTATAAACAAAATTATATACCCTTCACACTATGACATAGCCATATGACATATCTTTAACTTTGTTCCTTGAATCCAAGAACTTGAAAATAGTCTTTCGATTATCCTCCATAAGTGAGCCTGAGGCAGCTCTCTATGGTAGGGGACTGCCTGTAACAAAAATTTTATATGCGGAATGAAGCTGGAGGAAAGTGTCATGCTAAAACATGTTTTCTGAATAGGTAGCTTTGCATTAACATGGAAGTCTTAGTAATTTCATGTAATACAAGAATTTAAGTAATTTAACCACAAATTTACGGGAGGAAATATGAATTCATGGATAAGAAAATAGACAAGCTTTAATTTGAAGATCAACTTGAGTTTTGACGCAGATATATTGGACTAGATATGATTGACAATTTGTTTAAGCAATTCAATACAGAAAATCCTTCCTACTGAGCTTAAATTAAGTAATTTTTCTTGTTTACTTGTTATACAGTCCTTTCTTCAATCCTTACTGGGAAACCACCTTGCATCTTAGCTGTCAAATTTGCAACATAAACTGGCTCAATTCTCTCTTCCACTGCTGGAACAACTCGAAACCTCTCCAAGATACCAGCCACCACCATCTTCATTTGCAAAAATGCCATCTCTTTCCCAAGGCAAACCCGAGGGCCAGCATGAAAAACTGGGTAAGAGTATGGGTCTCGAGGCACAAACTTCCACTTCCCTGCCCCCATCTTTTCATCTTCCACTTCTAGCCACCGCTCTGGCCGGTATTCAGACCAATCAAGGCCCCATATACCTTCCATTCTACCCATAGCATAAGCGCTGTAAGCTACCCAATTACCCTTTTTAACTTTCGTGCCATCTGGCAACACGTCATTGTTGGCAGCCTCCTTGGTGTCTAATGCCACTGGTGGGTATAGCCTCATGCTCTCGCATAATGCAGCGTGAGTGTAAACCATGACTTTGACTTCATCAAAAAGAGAGGAATGTTCTGTTTTATTTTTCTGTTTTCCCCTGTTTTTGTTGATCTCTCGTAAGATCTCTTCTTCAACATGTTTGTTCTTATGGAGGATCCAGTAAAACCATGTTAAAGCTGATGATGTGGTGTCTCGTCCTGCAAGGATAAAGCTAATCACGATGTCAGTCACGAATTTCTCATCGGTATGGCCTGATTTTAGAAACCTTGACAATAAGTCTTCTGGTTCTGATGACTCTGAATCTTTCACCTCCCCTCGCTTTTTCTGTCTAACAATAGTTTTGGCAAAGTTCCGGATCTCTGTGACTGCTTCTTTAAGCTCCTTTTCTGACCCAATATTGAGAAATCTGCGTATTTTCCATAGAATTGGGAAAAAAGATCTGAATCTTTGGCTACTGATCGTCACAGCATCCTCAAATGCAACTGCAAATTTTGCTTTTGGTAAAGAGGGTGACAAGTATTCTGGATCATACCCAAAAGCAATCTTGCAAATATTATCAAATGCAAACCTTTGGAGTATGTCTTGGAAATCTAGGACTGTTTTGTTCTTGGCTGCATCAGATAACAACGGGATCAGCCTGTCTGAAAGCTCGGCATCAACCACTGTTTCAACAAACTTCCGCAAGGACCTGGTGTTGAATTCATAACTAGCAACTTGTCTTTGAAACTTCCACATCTCACCATCAACATTGAATATGCCATCACCTAAGAGGTCTTTGAGAATGGCCTTTTGGAAAGGACCCTTTTGGTAAATTGAAAACTGATTCTTGAGCATGTGCTCCACCGTGGCAGGGTTTCCTGTAAGGATGCTCTGATGTCCAAGCAGACGATGGAAGACAAAGGTGGACGATGGAGAGTTGACTATCAGACTAGCGATCCACCTGAATCTTTCATCCTTCTTTTGCTTCAAGACCGCGATCAAATGGCCAATCAAAGGGTAAGCTTTGGGGAACTCAAAACTAGTAGTTTGGCAGGTTTTTGGTGTTTGGGTGGATAAAAACCTCTTGGTGAAGTACAAGAGAAGCAATGGGAAGATCAGCAAAAACGGGCTTAACAACTTCCCAAGCTCAAACATGATGTATGATTTGTCAACTTTTGAGTTTCTTTGGGAAAAGGACTGCAAATCTGAAGGAGAAACCACGTCTGTAGATGAGAAGGTAGGAGGTTTGAAGATCCTCTCTTATTGAGCATATTTTAATATGTTTTGACGACTTGTTCAAGTAGTTTGGAATGGCGCAAGGTCAGAAGTTCTATTTGAAGTAAGTTTAAAACTACAAGTAGCCTGACAATTAAAGACAGAATATTGTGCAAGAAGCAATAGTCAAATGGCTTAACAATAAGTAATTTAGTACTTTATAAAATATAGCTCCCAAAAAAAAAAAGGAAATGCAAAATAAAATTAAACCGTATTATATACAGAGTAATGCACTTACATAAGTCTCACACTTGTACAGTTGTACAAAACTCGGCATATGCAATGAGCATGAAATATTTGCTCTGCCCTCATGGCAAATATTACACAATCTTTGGTATCTTCATCATCTCCCGGAAAGCTAAGGGAAGTTAAATGTGGTTGTCGCTCTTTACTATTGATTGTTGAGTGTTGGCTTAAGACGTAATCATCCACAACTTGAACACGAATAGTATTGGCCACAAAATTAACTTATGATTCCTTACTAAAATTGATGAAAATGAAGTTTAAAACGAAACAACTTTGGTTGCAGTCAAGTAAGGGTTAGGCTGATTTGGGTTTATCATTCTTTTTTTTTTTTGGATTTGGTTTATTCCAGGTTAGATCAATTTTGAGTCAAGTCAATTTCAAGGTCAGGTCATAACTTAGATTTGTAGTTTTTCAATTTTAAGTTATGTTGACTTCAAGTTCACGTTGATTTCAGGTTTGTCCTCGTATGTCAGGTGCAGTTAGACTCAAGTCAATTGGATCTTTTGTGTTAATGTTACCTTTAATCAATTATAAAAATAGTTTTTTTTTTGGCCGGCGCACTCCGGGCAGACCACCACCACAGGCTAGTTAACACCGTCCACATTCTACACCTCTACAACACAATGGACACCACCATGTTCTTTCTGGTAATGTTTACTTGCTTAAATTCCAATTCTCCAATTTCTGCTCTTTGAATTGCAGTTTATGCAGTTAAAATTGATAACAATGTCAGTTACAAATTTCTCGTCATAGTGGCCTGATTTAAGAAATCTTGACAGTAAGTCATCTGGTTCGGTTGAGCATAATTCCTGTGAATTCTGGAACATTTCCTTCTTTTTCTGTCTTACAATGGAATTTGCAAAACCTCGAATTTCACCTACTGCTTCTTTTAGCCTTTTCTCTGAACCAATGTTAAGAAACCTACGGATTTTCCACAGGATTGATGAATATGATTTGGCTCTCTGACTACTAATCATTGCAGCATCCTCAAAAGCAACAGCAAATTTAGCCTGTGGTAAAGCAGGTGACAGCTATTCTGGATCATAACCAAAAGCAATTCTGCAAACATTGTCAAATGCAACCTTTTTAGTATATCCTGGAGATCATGGACAGCCCGATTCCTGGCAGCCTCCGATAGGATTGGGATCATTCTATCATTAAGCTCAGTATCAACGACGGACTCTACAAACATTCGCAGAGACTTGGTATTGAATTCATGACTAGCAATCTGCCTTTGAAACTTCCACATTTCACCATCAGCATTGAATATGCCATCGCCTAGGAGGTCTTTGAAAATAGACTTAAAGACTGGACCCTTTTGGTAAATTGGAAACTGATTCTTAAGAATGTGCTCAACCGTGGAGGGGTTTCCAGTAACGACACTCTTCCGTCCAAACGGATGGTGAATGACAAAGGTAGAGGTTGGAGAGTTGAGTACAAGACTTGTGAGCCATTGGAATCTTTCATCTTGATTTTGCTTCAGAAGACTGATCAAATGACCAATCAAGGGGTAAGCTTTTGGGAACTGGATGGCTGTAGTTTGGCTAATTTTTGCTGTTTCGCGTGTTTGGGTGGAGAAAAACTTTCTGATGAAGAACAAGATGCTCAATGGGAAGATCACCAAAAACGGGGTCAACAACTTATCAAGCTCAAACATGATTAATGGTTAGGCAATTTTGAATTTTATTTTATTTAATGTTACTGCTATTTTAAAGAACATGTTTGGCAATATCTTCAAGGGAGTAAACTTTAAAAATCTAACATGATTAACCTGTTTAACACAATGTAATAACATGTTTGGCAATATATACTGTTTATTTGTATTTTCTGTGTACACGAAACTCAAGTGTCTAAAACTCATACTTATTAGAATCACATACATTTTGTGACAAAAATTTGTTTACTTGCGTGCTAACTCATTGCAAAAATTACTAAAATTGGATTAAAATTCTAAAACTGCTCAAACTTACATTTGATCTTGGAAAGCTATAAAACATAAATATAAAAAGCAAAAGAATTGATCTTATAGTAAGTAATAAGTAATCAAGGATACTAACTGTTAATTGCTTAAAAGATTGTAATGCTAATAATTGACAGATTGACAGTCTTGACACAAGTTGAAAATTCTTACAATAAACATTGCATTTGAAATTTTCAAAGTACAAAAGGTCATTCAACTTCAACAACATCATTATATTTTACATGCTACTATTTCTAATTGTTAACCTCTATACTATCCTTTCTTGGATTCTTACTGGAAGACCACCTTGCATCTCCGATGTCAAGTGAGGAAGATAAACTGGCTCAAACCCTTCTTCAACTGCCGGAACCACCCGAAACCTCTCCAATATACCAGCCACCACCCTCTTCATCTGCAAGAATGCCATCTCCTTCCCTAGACAAACCCGAGGCCCGGCTTGAAACACAGGGTACGAATACGGATCCTTTGGCACAAACTTCCATTTCTCCTTCCCTGTCTTTTCTGCATCCTCCAGTTCCAGCCAACGTTCAGGCTTATATTCAGCCCAATCAGTACCCCATATGCTTTCCATTCTTCCCATAACATAAGGAATGTAAACCACCCACATCCCCTTTTTGACGTGTGTGCCATCCGGTAACACGTCGTTGGCAGCCGCCTCCTTCGCTTCTACAGGCACTGGTGGATAGAGCCTCATGCTCTCACATAGTGCAGCATGGGTGTAGACCATGTCTTTTACTTGTTCAAAAACAGAGGAATTTTCTGTTTTAATTTCCTGTTTTCCCTTGCCTTTGTTGATCTCACTTAGGATCTCTTCTTCTACATGTTTGTTCTTGTGGATCATCCAGAAAAACCATGTTAAAGCAGCCGATGTAGTGTCTCGGCCAGCAAGGATAAAGCTGATAACGATGTCAGAAACAAATTTTTCATCATAGTGACCTGATTTAAGAAATCTTGACAGTAAGTCTTCTGGTTCTGATGAAGAAAATTCCTGTGTTTTTAGTAGCATTGCCTGTTTTTTCTGTCTTACAATGGAAATCGCAAAACCCCTGATTTCATCCACTGCTTCTTTGAGCCTTTTCTCTGAACCAATACTAAGTAACCTGCGGACTTTCCACAGCATCGACCAATATGATCTCGCTCTCTGACCGCTAATCATCACAGCATCCTCGAAAGCATCAGCAAATTTAGCCTGTGGTAAAGCAGGTGACAGATATTCTGGATCGTAACCAAAAGCAATCTTGCAAATATTGTCAAACGCAAACCTTTTTAACATGTCCTGCAGATCAAGGACAGTCTGATTCCTGGCAGCCTCCTGCAGGATTGGGATCAACCTACCAGAAAGCTCGGTATCAACAACCGTTTCTACAAAATTTCGTAGCGATTTGGTGTTGAATTCATAGCTAGCAATCTCTCTTTGAAACTTCCACATATCACCATCAACATTGAATATGCCATTCCCTAAAAGGTCCTTCAGAATGGACTTCTGATAAGGCCCCTTTTGGTAAATGGGAAACTGAGCCTTGAGCATGTGTTCAACATTGGCCGGGTTGCTAGTTTCGATGCTCCGCCATCCGAAAGGGTGGTGGATGACGATGGTCCCAGTTGGGGAGTTGAGTAGAAGGGATGAGAACCATTGGAACCTCTCATCCTTGTGTTGATAAATGGCGATCAAGTGACCGATAATAGGATAAGATTTTGGGAACGTGGTGTTAGTAGATTGACAAGCTTTTCGGTTTTGGAAGGAGAAAAACTTGTTGATCATGAGTATAAGTAGCAATGGGAGGATTAGCCATAACGAAGGAAGAAGTAATTTGCTAAGCTCAAACATGGTCTTGTGGAGGACAGTTTCTGAGTATAAATTAAGGTTTAACATGTAAGTTGATGTAATAAATATAATGCCATTTTCTGACTAGTATTTGTTTATATGATTTGTTACAAAAAATTATATAAAATAAAATAAAATGTCACTTGATGTCCCAATCTAGGGCTTTGAAATATCAAAACCTTTGGTATATATTGATGACAAGAAAAACACGATTTTGAATTTTCACGTGAAAGAAGATAATATAAGTTTGGTTATTCATAATTACTGTGAGACAATAGGGTCAACAGTACATTGTCCTATGATATGAATTTTCAAAAATTATTGGGAGGTATCTAATGTCTTAAGTATATTATTGAAACCGATTTTTTTTTTTTTTTTTTTAAATCAGAGTAGTTAATTTTGCATATTTAGTACGGAGTAATATTCTTGTAATTTTATCCAAGAAAAAAAAAGATTAATTATTGTTCTATAAAATCCGGTTAAAAAATTATAGAGGACAACTTAGTGGGTGGTACGAATTTAATTTACTAATTTACTATAAATTTTACAATGCAGGTTTGCAAACTTGCACATGCATTTATATTTGTAGAATCTTATAAACAATTTGGAGTAAGGAAAAATAAAGACTTAGGGCCTGTTTTCTTACGTTAAAATTCAGTTCAGTTCAATTCAGTTCAGTTTAACTCAATTCAGTTCAGCTTCTAATTTCCTTCTTTTATAAAATATTCAGTTCTGTTCAGTTCAGTTCAATTCAGCTCAGTTCAGCTCAGCTCAGCTCAGCTGAGTTCAGTCAATGAGAACGTGCCCTTAGACTTGTGGTTCTAAACATGTCAAGTAAAAAAATAAGGGTGTTGTTATTTGTCGCTCCCATTTTACCGGGTAACGCTCCCTTTTTTTCTTGAAATTCCAATTTTACCCCTAATATATAAATACGGTTTTTTCCTTCCCGACCAACATTTCTCACTTCTTTACTTCTCTCTCTAACTCTCTTACTCTCTAACTCTCTAAAACAATTTTTTTTTAAAAAAAAAATTCAAAAATTGTTCTTCATTTTTTAAAAAAACAACAATCATCATAAACACAAAAGAAAATGGGTGATTCGAGGCGGATTAGGCTGAGTTTCGGAGGGAGGACCTTCGGCGGCGCTGGTGGCAGCGGCGGAGGCGGCGGCGGCGGCGGCGGAGACGAGCTATTTTTTTTTTAATTTCGGATCCCAGGAACTTCCACCCAAAATTTCCGGAAGTTCCATGGAAGATCCGCCTGGAATTTCCGGATCCTCCATGGAACATCCGGAAATTTTGGGTGGAAGTAACATCCGCCCAGAAATTCCGGATGTTCCATGGAGGATCCGGAAAATCCAGGCGGATCCTCCATGGAACTTCCGGAAATTTTGGGCGGAAGTTCCAATTTTTTTTTTTTTTTTTTTTTTTTTTTGGCGCGTTAATAAAATTGTTAATTTTATTTTTTTTTCGGATTTTGTTTTTTTTTTTGTTATTTTGAAGTGTTATGGTGATTATTGTTGATATTATTATTGTTGTTGTTATTTTTGTGCTTATTATATTTTGTAATGTAATAATTTTTAAAAATATGATAATTTTTATTATTTTGTTGATATTAGGTTTTTATTATTAATGTTAAGGTTATTGTTGTTGTTGTTAATTTGTTTTTTTTTTGGATTTTGTTATTTTTGTTGTTATTTTGAAGTGTTATGGTTAGTATTATTATTATTATTGTTATTATTATTGTTGATATTATTATTATTATTATTATTATTATTATTATTATTATTGTTATTATTGTTATTATTATTATTGTTATTATTGTTATTATTATTATTATTATTATTATTATTATTATTATTATTATTATTTTTAAAAATATGATTAGTATTATTATTAAACTAATTTGATATTAGGGTTTTTATGGTTATTGCATGTTGTTGTTTAATTTTTTTTTTTTTTTTTGTTGTTGTTGTTATAATAATATTATTATTAGTGTTATTAGTAGTACTATTATTAATTTTTAATTATGATTAGTATTATAGTTGTTGATATTAGTGTTATTATTATTGTTATTATGGTTATTGTTGTTGTTGTTAATTTGTATTTGTTGTTGTTGTTGTTGTTGTTGTTGTTGTTGTTGTTGTTGTTGTTGTTAGTTATTGTTGTTGTTAAGTTTATTTGTTGTTGTTGTTGTTGTTGTTGTTGTTGTTGTTATTGTTGTTATTGTTATTATGGTTATTGTTATTACTAAAATCGGATTATTTTTTTTATTTTATGTAGATCGAGGGTTCTGGTGCTCGACATGCAATATCACGACGTCTGAATGCGTCTGTTAGGAGACAGACATCTCGATCTTCACCGGTTCAGCCCGAGCAGCAGCAATACGGGTCTACTAGTGGTTGGTCGAGAGACCAACAGTCTGGTAGTAGTCGGCCCTTGTACTCTGCAAGTGGAGCACCCATATCTGACGAGGAAGACGAATGTTCGGCTAGTCATGCTGGTGACCGGGATGAAGAACAGGACCCTCAGGATTTCCATATGGTATATAGGGGTCAGTTTGGGAGATTTGTTGGTAGTGGGTCGAGTCAGCCTACTTCCAGCTCTGTAGAGGCATGGTTAGTGCAGGAACCGATGCCGGGTGGGCCTGAGGATGGGTCAGTTATCCCTAGTTTTGGCGGTCACGTGGCACGGTATATCTGGATGGAGCAGGAGCGTAGTGTTTTGCGCTGTTTGAGTAGGACAAAGTTATGTTCTGACTTGTTCACTTGGCGAGGTCGTCAATCTGTGGAGGACATTGCGGCGATTGATGCTAGTTGGTTGTCTCACTTGCCTGACCTGATGTTTATGAGACTTGATTGGCCGTTGATTTCTGCTTTTGTTGAGAGGTGGCAGCCAGATACGAACACCTTTCACATGCCATTTGGGGAGATTACGATCTTGCTGCTAAGATTTTAGTGAGCATATTGTAGTGGGGTGTTGACTGATAAGATTTTTGAGTCGACATTGGCGGTTGACCGGGATTTTAGTGAGCAGCTTGATGCATACTTGTGGTTAGTGCTTGGAGGTACACTGTTTGTAGACAAGAGTGGTAACCATACGCATCCTTCCTTCCTCCACGAGCTATGTCACACGGATTTCCCTATTAACGAGTATGCTTGGGGAACAGCTGCACTGGCCTACTTGTATCGGCAACTGGGCACGACATCACGGAAAGGTGCTGATTCGATTGCTGGTTGTCTCACGCTTCTACAAGCGTGGATTTACGAGTACTTTCCGTGCTTTCGGCCACAGCATGGTACCTTGACCCGGGACCTTCAAATGCCTCGTGCGTCTGCTTGGGATGTAGGAGCGGGATGTCCTAGCAAGAACTTGGAGCGCCAATTAGCTTTTCGCACTAGGGTTGATGCGCTTACTGACCGTGAGGTGAACTGGCTACCGTACGGAGCTGATCCTGTATTACGAGTGCCACCCACTTTATTCATTGGCTGCATCCAGTACCGTAACATCATTGAGCCGTACATGGCTGATAGAGTGGTGCGCCAGCTTGGTTTCGTGCAAGGCATTCCCCGCGAGATCATCAGGCCAGAAAAGGCCAAGAGGCCGACTAACTTGAAGATGTATCGGGTAGACTTCCCGACTGAGATGACAGCTGTGATGTGGAACAAGTTTGTCCCTGGGGTATCTCAGAGTGTTGTTTTAGGTGCCCTACCCAGGCTTAGTGCTGCAGCTCCTTCGGTTGCGCCCGGTTACATGCAGTGGCTGTACAGGTTTTCTCACCCGCGGGTATCTCCAGGTCCAGGAGTTACAAGCAACCTGCCTGAGCGGACTAACACTGATTACGTAAGTATTAATGCTTATTATTATATTAACTATGACTTCTATTAATTTTTGTGTTATAATATGTTATTGTTTGATTTGCAGTGGATGGGTCGGTCCATGGAGATTCACCAAAGAGCACTAGCTGAGTATCCTGAAATGTCGGGTGAGACTCGAACAATGACTGAGCAGCTTGTATTTGATTGGAAGTCAAAAATGGGACTTTAGATTATTTTGATTAGATGTTCTGTTAGTGATGGTTTTAATTATGTTATGAACTTATTTATATTTTATTTTTTTAAATGTAATGTATAAACTGGACACTTATTTTATTTTATATTTGATGTTTTGTTGCATATCATGTTAGATTAAAAGCAAATACATTTAAAATTAATTTCATAATTCTAATTTTCTTACAAATGTTCAAAGTTAGTGAATGTACATTACAAACTACCTAACTAATGCATCCCACATGTCCCTTCTCAATTGATATGCTTGATCCCATCCATTGACACTATCCTCGTGGTGTTCCGTCCACCAACCGGCGATCGGCGGGAGTGTGAATCAGGTACAAGGTCAAGACGGATAAAATGTGATCCACCAACTGTAGCAATCACAAACTCTCGAGTCGGTGACCGAACCCCGTTGCGTGCCCTAAGCGGTAAGACTGTGATGCATGGGTAGTAGCAAGTTGGTACTAGGCCTACTCCGAGACAAATCACCCTTGCGTTGAACCACGTAGCAATAGGAAATAAATCTTGAATTGTAACCATCCAATGCCGCTCCCCGACAGCCCCACCATCCCATCGAATACGCTCCACGTTCATCCAAAGTCGCCCAAGCCCGTAAATCCGTTCGTAAAAATCAGGATGACCAGCGACCTCGTTCGCTATTGTTTCCCGAGCGTCAAACCACTTATTTTGATCGCCAAAGAAGAAGTCGGCAACACAACGAAAGCCACAGTTCCCATCACCAATGACATCCTTCCAAGACGAAATGTACGGCAACATTGGGGCTGGAAGCAAGTTCAAATACCTGCATTGACTAATGTCACTTGGATCTACAACACAAAATTAAAAGATAAATTATTAGTAAAGCTACAAGTATTAAGTTTACATATTTTTATATTAAATATGGAATTTTAGTATTACCTGGTTCTGGGTCACCACCACGTTGAGTGTGTTGACGGTTCACATGCTCGAAATAGCTACGATCACGCCTAGTGTTATTTCTTTTTGGTCGACCACGAGTGTTAAGGTTGATATGTGGTTCTTCAAGGTGTGAATGATCTGGATGTAGCTCCTCTTCAATGATTCCCGTTACATTTCAACGTACGGCCGGGTCACTTTCCATGACTTCGCCGATTAGGGACCGAAAATGTGCAGCCTCCTCGGTCGAATCATTTACCATTTCAGGAATGTTAACACCATCACCAATAACCAATATCTTCCAGAAAGAATGAATTTGGCTGCTATACAATCCTGTCTATGCAACTATCGAATCATGTATCTGGCAAGCACATGGAAGACCATGGGTCAGACGCATAGCACATCCACACCGTTCATGGACCTGGTAACTCAAATCCCGCATCCTTTTCGTCTCGTTATCCAGAACTTTCAAGCAATGTTGAGACATTTTGCCATTTATACGTGACAGTGGCAACTGTCTGTACATCTGACCAATTTTAGACCTTGATGCCTCCAAGTCATTACGAATTTGTATGATGCGATTACCGATATGACAATGGACTCGGGCCCATACGGTATCCAAAGCACCTGCCAATGATTCTAATTAGTAAATTCAAATACAATTACAATTAATACAGTTACAATTACGTAACAACGAGAACAACTAATAAAATAATACAACTAACCTGTGGATGATTCTAACCAAGTTTTCACTGCTGACTGTTGGCTCTCAACTTTGCAGTTGGTGGTGTTACCAAAATGAAGAACCTGGTTCGTCCAAAATTTCACAAATTTCTTCTTATGACAAAGCCAAGTTCTCTGAACATACTGAATCACTTCCGGATATTTTCCCCACCTCACTTGCATGGCAGTTAGAGCATGATCATACTCCGCCTGTGTTGTTGCATTCACGATTTTGAACCATCTCCCAGCTCTAAAACTGACACCAACCGTCTTTTTTCCAAACATCTTCGTCACCTTAGCCTCCACATCTCTGTTGATGTGCCATAGACAGAGTAAATGTGACGTCCCTGGAAAGACTTCTCTCAAAGCCGCACATAGCCCAAGATCACGGTCTGAAATAAATACATATGGCTCTTTATCAAACCCAATCAACTCCCTTAATCTCTGCAACACCCACCGATAGCTAGCCGTGCACTCGTCGCGCATGAAAACATATCCAACTAGAAAATTCTGGTTTGTTGGTGTCATGCCTACTATCTCAAAGAAAGGCATGTTATATAGATTGGTCTTGTAAGTAGAATCCATACCTATGACATGTGGGTATGTGCGGAGTATGTTGACCATGATCGGGTGCACCATAAATGCATGTTGCAAAACATTGTGATCATCGTTCGTGAACCAGTAAATGTATTTACTCTCTCTCGCCAGATGAAGAAATTGCTGAACAACTCCTCTTCCTTCGGACATCTCCATCCTGAAGTCATTTCGGCAATTGTAAATGTGTCAGATGTTTGGATGATCATCAGGAAATTGCTCGGCAATAGTGGACATGATATTACGGGGAGCAACCTTGGACTTTGTCATGTCCCGCACAACCTGTTTTGCACCCGGACTCAATCCGCTCACTTTACGGTGACCCTCTGGGTACACAATCATTGGGTGGTTATGTGTCCCGGTGTGATCATTTTTCGCAATGATCTTCCAACTTCCGGTGCTGACATCATAATATATCTTGATGTAGAATGGACAACCATTAGCTTTGGTTTTGGTGTCCTTCCGTATCGCGTTCTCCAAATCTCTCGGCTTGCTCCTTCGTGACCGATCACATCGCAAATACCGATACGGCCGACCATCTCTGGTTTTGTTATAAGACGATTTCACCAATATAAATCCCAATTTTATGGAAACACCATCAGCCCATGTAACAGCATCGTCAAATGTAGGAAAAAACGTATCGTTGACAAAATTCCAACTATAATTCACACCGTCACCGCCTTCCTCAGATTCCATATCCTATACAAATTAAACAAAACATGCTTTATGTCAAAATAATAATAATAAAAACAATAATAATAATAATAATAATAATAATAATAATAATAATGATTAAAATAATAAAAACAATACTAATAATAATAATAATAATAATAATAATAATAATAACAATACTAATAACAATACTAATAATAATAACAACAAATACAAAACAATAACAATATTAATGATAATAAAAAATTATAACAACAACTACAAAACAATTTATAAGACCATAACATTAATTAATAAATAAATAATAATAATAATAATAATAACAATAATAATAATAATAATAATAATAATAATATTAATATTAATATTAATATTAATATTAATATTAATATTATATTTCTACTAATTAATAATAACAATATCAACAACAACAACAACAACAATAAAAATAACAGCAACAACAACAATAATAATATCAACTACAACAACAACAACAATAATATCAACATATTACTAATAATAACAATAATAATAATAATATAAATAATAATAATAATAATGAAACAAAAAATAAACATATTACTAATAATCATATTAATACAACAAAATTACATTAATTATCAAATACTAAATCACAACAATAATCAAAAGACCACGAAAAAAAAATACATAAAAAAAAAACTTAATAAACGTAAAAAAAATTAAATAAACGTACTTAACTTTAAAAAAAAAAAAAAACTAATAGGGACATCCGCCTAAAATTTCCGGATGTCCCTAGGTACATCCGCCTGAAATTTCCGGATGTACCATGGAACATCCGGATTTTTTAGGCGGATCCCATCTTCCGCTTGAAATTTCCGGATGTACCACATCCGGAAATTTTAGGCGGATGTACCTAGGACATCCGGAAATTTTAGGCGGATGTCCTAATTACCGAAAAAAAAAACTTACAGAATGATCCGACGCATTCTCCGGCGTACGTATGTTCCACTCGCCGTCCATGACCCAAGACCCGTCGGAAAATTTAACGATTTTTTAAAATAGAAAATTTAGGTGGTCGTGGGGACCGATTTGGTTGCAAGGTCGTGGGGACCGATTTTGGGAAGCTCGGGACAACAATGTCGTGAAGTGAGGGGACCGTTTCATGTATTGTGTCCAAATGGGGAACAAGGTCCTTTTTATAACCCAAATTGCATAAAGGGCATAGTGGTCCATTCAAGTCAAAAAGGGAGCGTTACCTGGTAATTTGGGAGCGACAAATAGCAGTTGAGAAAAATAAAAGAAACAATGTCGGATTACTGGTTTCCAAGAAGCATCCGAGAAGATATATGAGAAGCTAGACTCCAAATCATGTAGAGCCCAATTACAATTGTCTACTTGGATAGTTGATACACTGTATGTACTATGTAGTACTCCATATAAAAGTATGAAACATGTGCTGTGTTACAGAAACTATGTTGCACGAGATCATCGAGAAGTAAGAAATGGAAACGTAAAAATGATACAACCTGAGCTGCAACTTTGTACTGTTTCGAAACAACCACTGCTTTGCCCCTCGCTACTGTAGTTTGTGATACAACTTTGATTACAGGAATCAATTAGCAAAGAAAAATGCAAGGTATGGTAACATATGCAAAGAATGACACCATGAGCAAAGTAAGACACCAAGTATATTTTGTACTCCGTAGTTGGGAAAACAATGGTATTCCTAAGCTGTGAGGATTACAAGAAAACCAAATCAATGGGGTCAAAATTTACATAGGCAGATACAATCAGTTACATGTTGGCCGATTGGATTCAGCCTCAAAACAATTGATAACATATCAAAGAGATGCACACTAGTATACAGTCTGATAATTCTGTTCTGAGAATATCCACAAGATACGCCACTGCTGCTGCTTCAATGACAACTATCGAATGTATACACACCTCAGACAAAAAATGAGGATGCAAAAGATTTGGCAGACTTCGCTGATCATTTTCATCAAAGTATTGAGCTGATACCTTAATGAGAACTTTCTTTACGTAATCATCTCGGCATCTAAGCAGCTGCTGAAAGTTAGCATGGCCTCTTCTCAGAATCACTCGCAACAAGCTGATGCTTTCAATTTCTTTGTCCATTTTTTCCAGCAGGAATCTGCTTGCAGAAAAAAAAAACTGAAGGTTAAATAACAAGATTACTGTTGTCTTCATACTTCCAATGTCAGAACACAGTAGCAAAGTTAGAGCTTCAGTAATCTAAATTGAGAAACTCAATTCTATATATATTCATAATTTCATAAACATACACAAATATGTGGATGTCAACTAACTTAGTTGGTTAGGGTCTTGGTTCACAAATCTCATCTACATCATTTGTAATATGTGGCTCTCTTTACACCAATAAATAAGTAAACATACACGAATATAATATCTCCATTTAACATTGGTAATAAACTATGTATTTGCTGATTTTAACTCACAACCCTTTCTAATTTTGTTAGCCATTTAAGTATCACAAACTACTTTTTGAGAACCACATGAACTAGATAGTCAGCATAAGTGGTTTAGTGCTATAGCCATTTTCCAGAGCCTGGAAACATTTATAAAATAAACCTATAGTCCTATACCGCATTATCTAAAAAGAAACAGAAACAGAACGAATAACTAAGGGAGCAAGAAAGTAACCAGGAATAAATATACCCTGCAAAGCTTCCAGATATTGTACGACATTCAAGGATGTGCAGTGTGATAATATCTTCAATTCTACGAACTCTTAACTTCAGTGCTTTCAAAGTAGGAGCCTTGTGCAACCTCTGCAAACAAAATTTCCTAATTCATTTCTGGAAAATCTTCTGGATACTTTATTCTAAAATAGTCAAGCTCTGCCTCCAATTCTTGTATTTCTTTGTCCTTTTCAGCAATCATTTCATTAGCCTTTTCCAGCGCATCCACATCATACTCTGCTTGCTCTTCCATCATCCTCAGATATTGTAGGGCCTCCATGTTAAGAGCAGCCTTCTCCTCTTGCAACTTAGTTATCATAGCCATAGCTTGATTCGCAGCAATTGCAGACGCATTTCTCTCTTCGTCTAGCTCCTTGTGCAAATTTTTTATACATTTCTTATCATATTCAACCTGTCGTCTCAACTTGTCAACAAGACTTTCACCTTCAATTTCACTTACACTTTCTTCTAGAGATTCAAGGGACTGAGACCTCTCCATACTTGTTGGAGATTTAGGAGGCATCAGAGTATCATTGGAACTAGGATTTTGAATCTTCTGTGGTTCATCAGAGTGACCATTCACTGGAGGGCACATATTGCTTGATAATGAATCTGTTTGGGGGTCTGATACTTTTGAAACTTCCTCATCTGATTCAATAACATTGCAAGCGCTACTGCCAATTTGTTCTGATAAAAGGTTTGAAGCTTTAACGTCCTTAATAGTAATAGGAGCAAGGTCTCTTGCACCAATGACAGAATTGTTATTAGGCACAAGTGCAGCATCCTTCCTTGAAGAAAGAGTTGAGGTGCTATCCAAATCAATAGATTCCCAATTATTCATGGCAGAGGTAAGTCCTGTGTCACCAATTTCCTTAGTTTTGATACCTGGAGGTAGTTTATAAAAATTAACAAATAGTATTCAAAATATTAGGGGTTTGGATAACATCACAAACCTATAAACCAAAAGAAATTGCAACAGTTAAACAAGCTAAACCAAAAAGAATGAGATGCAGGCAATATGAACTTACAATTCTCTTTTGATAGTCTAGCTGGCAGTTGCACGTTTTCAGATGACAAAGCAGTTTTGTGAGAAATAAAATCTGTATAACCAGAAGAATCAAGCATATTTGAGAGAGAAACTCTGTCACCTTCATCTGCAGATATAGCTGGTGAACCCTTTTGAGCACTGGATGATAAAGGAATATCATCCAATGACACAAGCTCAGGTACTAAAGGACTTGCTTTTTTTATAAGTTGTTGCCAGTTTAGCTCTCCAAGGCCCTTCCTTAAATCACTATTAGATATAAACCTTGGAGTGGTCGTTTCACCTTTTTCAGGCTCAAGATGTAGAAGCATTAAATTGCTAGTGGCAGGAGTTGATTTCTGACGTTGCACTGCTGGGAAAACATCAGCATACTGACTCTTTGGGGTGAACTTGGAGCCCTGTCGTGATAGAAATTCATTCATTTTCCAGTTCCGAGGCACATTGATCAGATCATCATCATCAGAAAATGGGAAATCTGATTCAGAGTCTGAACTGATCTTTACTTCAGTGTACCCAACATGAGACAAGGAATCATGATCTCTACTTCCTAGGACAAGAGGTTTAGTTGGCAACAAAAATCTATCCCTTCTATTCTTCAATCCCTGTTGACTGTTTAGACATCTATGTCCTGGTGATTTTGGTGAAGGAATCTCAGGATTAGAAACAGGTGCAGAAGGTAATTTCGACTGAACCATCTTCTGCACACTTGGTCTAGATCTCCATGGCTTTGAACAACATGAGCAGAACTTTGTGGTCAAAGAACCAGAATTAATATCCAAATTTACTAATGGTTTCTGAATACATTCTGATCCCAACTTACCTACCAAAATTTTGTATGCTTCTTCCTTTGAGTCGTTCTTTGCAAACGACAACAGACATTCTTCACACATTCCATGAACATCAACAAGTTTCCCATGGTTATGACAAGAAATCAAAGATGATATTTCTGACTTATGATTATTACAAAGCAGATTTACATAAAAGTCCGGATTTTCTTTTCCTAAAATATGGTCAAGCCTTGAACACAATATGCAAGGTAATTGTAGCTCACAGTATTGAGCAAACTTTGTTAGGGAATACGAAAATGCTGCATCAAGTAACAAGAGAAATAGCAACAACCACTCGCACGCAGCTGATTTTAACACGCGGGTAAATCCATGTACATTACTATCCACTTTAATTGGGAAGGATCCTTTTACAGCCATATAATTTGAATTACAAGGGTTTCCTACAATAAACCAATGACTTCAATTGGGAAAACCAAATGACAATCCAGCTTATGTAAACAACCTGAACTCCAACGTTCCAAAATCGATAAAGATGATCCCATCCCAAATCAGACCCTAAAACCACCAAAAATGCCACAATTCATAATCCATAAACCAATTTCAAAAGCCAACATAATCATCATCATCAAAGTTTAGCTACATTAACATAAATAATCAATCAACTAACCAGATAAATAATTCTCACGACAATCACCCAAATAATATAAATCCCACCTCAATCACAATTCACCCATCAAAACAAGAAATTATCAAAAACCCAATTATTCCCAAGTACTAAAAGTCAATATAACATTGCCCAATTCCTCAAACATTCCAAAAAAAAAATATACCCATTACATCATTTCCAATTTCAAATGAAACCCAGATGATAATATCAAGAAAATCCTAATAGTAAGTGATTTATTTCTCAAAATGCCAACAAATTTCAGATATCAAAGGTAGAAATCCTGCTAACTTAGAAATAAAAATGCAATAAAAGCTAAGATTTTGGGATAGAGAAGAAATCAGAAAGAAGAGGAGAGAGAAAAAGAGAGTACCTTGATTGAATGGAGGTATTCAGATGGATCAGAGGTGAAGAACGAAAAAGAAGGAAGAAGAGGGAAGGAGAATAAAAATGGAAGCTTTTGAAGATTAAAAATGAAGAAATTTGTTGGTGGGGTGGAATGACAAAGACGTCCTTTGGGCTATGTGAAATCGACTGACCGTTAAACCTCAACCAACGCCAAAACTGTTGGCCCAAATATAAGATAAAATAAAGGGAATTTTGATTTTTACCACCTTCAAATAACCACTTAATTGAATTTACCACCTTAAAAAAAAAAGATTTACTTTACCACCTCATAAAAAAATTAAACATCAGTTTTACCACCAATCACCTCCAACTAATGGATTCCGTCCATAAATCCGTTAGTGGGGCCTACCTTGCACACGTGTCGCCATATTATTGGGTAAGCTTTAGAAAAAAAATTTAAAAAAAACAAAAAAAAAATTAAAAAACCCCATCCATCAACCGGTGGTTGCTGCCACCGTCGAGACCCCACCACCGGACCGACTACGACAAGCCCCACCACCTGACCGCTACGACCAGCCCCCCCCCACCTAACCGCTACCAGCCCCCACCACCTAACCGTTACGACCAACGACCCCACCACCTAATAACTACCACCGCAACGCACAGCAACAACCACCGCACCGCACCGCACAACCACCACACCGATTTCGACCCCCTTTCCACCAATTTCCGACCTCAAAACCCTAGCCACCACCTAATCACTACGACCAACGACCCCACCACCTAACCGCTAACACCGCATCGCACCGCACCCAGTCACAGCCCCCACACCGGATTTCGACCCCCTTTCACCAATTTCCGACCTCAAAACCCTAGCCACCAAATTCCGACCACCCATATAGCCCCCCTAATTCCGACAACTCTTAAAACCCTAGCCACCACCAAATTCCGCACTCCTAAAACCCTAACCACCACCTAATTCCGATCACCTCCCTAGGTTACACCAAATTCCGACCCCTCCCTTGCCCCCACACGAAATTCCGACCAACCATGGTGTGTTAATTTCGTTGCTGGCTGGGTTGATATGGAAATCGGGGAAGATGAAGAAGAACCGTCAAAAAGGTGGGCCCTACTAACGGATTCATGGACGGAATCCGTTAGTTGGTGGTAAAATCGAATTTTTGGAAATTTTGGTGGTGGTAAAGTAAATCTTTTTTTTTGGAGGTGGTAAATTCAATTAAGTGGTTATTTGAAGGTGGTAAAAGTCAAAATTCCCTAAAATAAAATTAAATCTACTACTTGTATTTGCTTGGTTTCTAATTTTTCTAATGTCCATATTTTTTAATACAAAAAAAGTATGGTTTGGTTTTTAATACTTTCCCTAATTCGACTCCGGTCTCCGTAATAATAAGACTCGTAATATCCAATATTAAATTTAACTGTATTCTATTACATAAAACATAAAATGTCATAAAAATTATTAATATAGATGAGATTCAATATTTAATTCAAAGAAGTATTCATTAAGAACTTTCTTTCTTAGTTACCTAGTATTGATATACTTAAATTTTGATTGTTGACTACATGTAATCAATTGTACAAAGTCATAAATACAAAAATTCGCTCTTAATACAAACATTTATACATGTCTTTTATCATAGAGTACATTGTTATTATCCGGTATTCCGGTGACTTTTGTTATTGCATTGGTATTTTTTTAATCAAAAAATCAACCAAACTTTCTAGATAATTGAAATATGCTTAAGATTATCAAGAACATGGCTAGGATTAGGTGACCCAAATGGTTGATATAATTAGAATTGGACAAGGTTTAACTTTGCTTTGGATTGTACCATGTCCTTGTCACATGGCTATCTCTATATAAAATGTATGTATAAAGTAAACACTAAACCTAACTTTCTTCTCAAATTGCTAACTTGATTTATTATTCCCCAAATTTAATATTCTTAGAATTGATAGATAAAGGTCCCCAATTGTTTTTATTATTACAACTATACTTACCCATGATTCTACCCATATCTCTCCATATACATGCCATTAGTTTAGGCGTGGCACGTTTTAGTTCACTATATAAATATTTACAATAACCGAATTAGATATTGGAAATTAATGCTTACATTACTCCATTTGCAAAATAAATAATTATAGAAATATAAATTAATGTAGATTGAGATAGATGTTGAGGAAGCAATCATAGCTAGGAATGCTTTTAAGTACAATTATCATGTTATCAACCATATAATTCTCCAGCTTTTAATTTTAATGATGATAGCAAGTGTATTGTATTTGTAGACTTGTAGTTGTGGCCATAATTTAAACTTATGTTTCCACAGCCCATGAACTGAGCATGCCCAAGCCCAAGCCCAAGCCCTATGGGGTGTTGTTTGGTGGGTGGTTCAAGTTAGAGATCGATTAAAGAAAGTAATAGCGGAATAGGGTGCATTTTATATGGGGGCATGTTTGTAAAGTCATGTTAAAATACGGGCGTTACCCGGTAAATACCGGACGTTGTTTAGTAATTCACTTTTTTTTTTAAAGAAATCTAATGATATATTATATAATACTCCACATTTATTTATTTTATATGGTAAAAAAATTAAATGAAGTATGATATGTGAATAATGCAAAAATCAAAGTGATGCATTTAAAAAAAAAAAACGGAGGGCATAGTACGGAGTGACTTATTTTTAGCATTATCAATCAACAAGTCACAAATAAATGATCTCTACGACAATGTTCCGAGGATTTGTTGCGGTCTTGAAGAATTCTTCTAGTTCATCATCATGTTTAGCACTGACTGGACTATTTTTCAAACCTCCATTATTTATGATTGTCACTTTCTCTAAGCAATGCCGCCAACATCTAACTGGAAGAGATTCACAATAAACACACTTCTCTAGTGTATTATCGTCCTCCTTGTACTCAAACTAGTCACAAATCATTGAAACAATACTATTATCATATATTTAAGCTAAAACAGCAAGATGTAAGCAAAGAAATTAAACATATTTACAAACTAGCTCATACTCAAACTTTTTAATGCGTAATTTTATCCTTGTTGTAATATTAATAGAATGGAGGAAGTATATTTTAGTGTTCATACCTCAACTTCTTTGATGCATTGAGAGCGAAGTTAATAGTAATCGTCTCTGGACCACATGCAGAAAGCCAAAATAGACCATCAATAACTTGATTGATAGTGGTGTTCCTCTTATGAAAGTACACAACATATTTGAGTTTCTGGTCCTTGACAACAAGAGGAGGGTTCAGTAATTTTTCTTATATCCGAAGGAACCACCATACCCTGCACAATCGAAAAACAATTACAAGTATTACAATAAGTACAACAAGCTAAGTCATATTCATGGTTTCATAACACATTCATCTTTGACCATTAATATTTTTAATTACTCGCTGATACAAAATTTCAATATGGGAAGAGGATTTTAAAAAAGATAACTAACCCCGAAAAAATATAGTTTCAATCTTCTCCAGACATTAAAATTGCCCAGACACTTAACTAGCTTCTCACACTCAAGAGCATTATCGGTGTAGTCGTACCCTCGCAACCAAATATTAGCCATTGCTGAAGCACGACTAGCATCATTTAACACAAAAGATGGGGTAGGAAAAGATCGATAAGCATACCAAAACCAGAACTTTAGGTACAGAAATCTTGGGACATCAACAATCTTGAGTTCCTCTAACCCATTAGTAGATAGAAAAATAGTCTCAAGAGATTTACTTGATATTCTAACACGCTTAAGATTATGACAATTATCCAAGGTGAGTCGCTTTAGCTTGGAGAGATTGTCAATACAAATGTGATTCAGCCATCCATCAGTTATTCTAGCATTACTGATAATCGTTATACTTTTTAATCTCTTGCTGACTGCTAGATTGCGAATAATGCAAGATCCAGTTGATTCATTAGTCTGTCCACCAATACTATGTAAAGTGTATAGATTCTTAAGGTTAGGGGCATCTATCTGAATCATCTTGAAATAATTACGTCGATCATATATGTATAGAGTGACAAGTCTTTTGAGATCCAAGGCGTTTAGTGTGTCAAATTCACCAATGCTCAATGATTTAATCAGACACTGTCGAGTAGCTGCTGATGGAGTAAGCTGACGCGTTTCAAATACAAAATCCTTAGGGTAGACCAAGTGGTTTCGAGGCAAGAGTTGAGTACACATCCACTTAGCTTCAACTCACTTACTTGTGCTAATTCTTTCCAGGAAGCCACGGTGGATGATATGAAGCTGTTTCCAGGAAGCCATTGCCTTGTGTATCTATCTTGACGATAACCAAGAGAAAAATCAATCTTCTTGACTTGGAATTCGACGACTACCCAAACAAGAAATCGGTTCAATAGCGAAATTGTTGATTCAGGGAGATTGTCGCCACCTCTAAAATCCAATCTAGGAATATGAAGTATGAGGTGCTTCAGCATAATGTTATTATTATGAACTCGCCGTCTTTTAAAGATGTAATGATCGATGAAAATGATAATTTGTTCGTGAGAATTTCTAAGGTCAGGGTGAGTAAGTAGGATGTGTTGTCGACAACACGGAAGTTGCAGCAGCCTCTTTGGTGGGAAGATAGTACAATATTTGGTGCTTGAGATCCAGTGGTAGTTTCGATATCCGATCTTCGTCCTCTCTTCTCCATTATCAATTATGTATATTGTATAACGTTATATGAGGAATTTTTGGACTCTAACTATTAGAGTCATTTGGCATAATCGTCCATTCGATCACTTCTACCGGAATTGAAAAAAAATAATGCCATAACACATGTTGGTATTTCATTATACTTTAGATAGTATCACCATGATACCAACCACCTTATTCAGTGATACCAACGAGCGTTAAAATGTTTTTTTGATATCGATATAATTTGTTGTTAGTATCATGTGAAATACCAACGTATACTGTTAGATTCATTAGTTAGAGTCATTATATAGCATGAAATAATCTTCGTTCAATTTTCCATGTGTGCCTGCTATTGGAGTACCGTACAAATTTGTCTATATTGAGTTTCTCATATTGTTTTTAGATATTACATTAAATTTATCCTCTACAAATGATTGTTCAACTGATGATGACGCCTGCCTCTCGCTATTCAACCTACATGCGTCCCAAATATACATAATTAGTCTTAAAAATTTAAGTGGAGGTCTATTGTAATAATTCATCAAAAAAATGCTAGAATTTGTTTTATACATACGGGTGCACGGTGCACTCAAGAGTTTTTTTTTTTTTTTTTTTTTTTTTTTTTTTTTTTTTGTTGCTCATTTTGATGATTATTGATCATTTTATCATCAAATGAACAAATAAATACTATAGGGTGTACCGTACTCCTGAATGTATAGGATAAATGATAATCTTACTCCATATCATATTATTTAAAAAAAAACAAGACAGAGGAAATAAACATACCAGCTAACATCAAGGACACGTATAACTTTGAACAACTCTCCATTCTTTTTGCTAAACTTTTCCTCTAGCAAAGGACATCCTCTAACCTGTAAATACTTCAAGTTGTTGAGAGATTGCATAACATCTTGTGAAGGAAGACACTTCAACTTCGGCAATGAAACAAGCATCAACCTTTCAAGGGATGTCAGTTTCCCTAACCAATCCGGTAACGTTTCGAGGCATTCGAACTCGGTTATTTCCAGCGTTTGAAGTCCCTCTAAATGCTGAAGTTGTACAGGAAGTGTTTCCCTTCCATCATACAAATAATCTCTACATGCCAAATCCAATATCCGAAGCGATTCGCAAAGTGGACTATCTTTCACCAAGTCTGTAGGTAACAGTTCATCAGTGTACAATTTTTGTAAACAGGGGAGACTAGCCAACCCTGCTAGCTCTAATTTGTACTTTCTTCTTCCATGACATGATGTGATGCCTAGTGCACGAAGCCGGGTTAATGGCGAAAGGTCCAGGAGATTTTCAATGTTACAACCATCTAGCATCAGTACTTCTAGCAGTCTGCAGCATTGGAACCCATGTTTTGGAAATGTAACAGTTAACAAGTAACACTGTTTTATTGACAAAAATCTTAGTGACCTAAGGTTTTCAACATTAAGATTTCCCAGTGCGTATGTAAAATGAGTCAATCTTAGGGAGACGAGGTTGTACAGTGGTGATCCTTCTATGCCTTTCATCTCCATCAACCACCTAGGGAGTCTTGTACCGCCGTAAAATCCAACCTCAAGCGTAGACAAACTCTCATGGGGCTGCAGGGCTTCTAGGATTTCATTATTCATATGGTATGATTGATCTTGAATTCTAGACCATTTTAGGATTAACCTATCAACATTCAACTTGCTTCCCAAATTTAGACCTCGAGCCTCGTCTAAACAATGTACACATTCTAAGCCTTGGATGTTCAATGTACCCTTAAGGTTAACCAATGGACCTAGCTCACTTAATCTACCACCCCAATCTTCTCTTAAATCGATTACCGGTATAGTTTGCAAAGCAGTCAAATGACACAAGCCTAAGGGTATACCAATGCCTGGGTATTTACTGGCACAAATGTGCCTCAAATTTACCAAACTACTAACTTCTTTGGAAAGAATTGGAAAGTGTTTTCTTCCATATACCTTACCAATCGATAATACTCTCAATGTTTGCAAATGGTAAATTTTGGTGATCACTTTCGGAAGTATCCCAAACTCATTCCCAGAGATATCTAGATACCTCAAATGTTTTAAGCAACCAACCGACTCTGGCAACTCCTTTAGTCCTAGATTACACAAACATAACACTCTTAAGCTCCTAGAATGCGCCAAGAATTTTAAACTCATGTACACCCTTAGATAAAATGACCGAGGACTGTAATAGTATGTACGAAATTGCTTACAATATGCAGCCGTGATCTCTCCTTCAAAGAGTGTAGTCGATTGGTGTCGAACCCCACTTGAAGTATCATTGATCTTTATCTTCTCTTCTAGATTCAAAAACTTCGAGTCACTTGAAACAACGCGTGCAAGAGACAATACAAGGTCATGTATCTTGAACGTCTCCGCATTTCCAAGCTCATCCATTTCAGCTTCTTGAAAAAGAGAACAATTCAACAAAATGTTCAAGTATTTTTCCCCTGTTAACTCCATTTTATCACATGGTTGCAAGAAGCCTTGTGCCATCCACAATTGAATTAACTTATCCTTTTCAATGACTTCGTCTTCCCCAAAAATGGCACAATAGGAAAAACATCTTCTCAACGCCGTATTTGGCAAGTAAATGAAACTTAATTTTAAGGAAGGCAAAATACCATATTTATCTTCTTTCTCCCATAAATCACTTTTCTCAATTTCTTTCCATGCCTTTATATTTTGTTCCCTTAACAAGTCTCCAAGTGCTCTTATGGCTAGAGGAACGCCGCCACATTTCTTTATCATCCTCCTTGCTATCACGTATGCCTCATAACCAGCACCCACTAGATAGTCATTATTCATTCTCGCCATAAATAAAGACCAACTATCGTCTTCACTCAACCCTTGTAACTGATAGCTATGAGCCTTTTGTATGACATTTTCACCATGGTTGTCACAACTATATGTGTCCATCTTCGCCACCACATTTTTCCCTCGTGAGGTCACTAGAAGGCTAGTACCTTTGGAACCACTAATTTCTTGCAAAGCACATCGAAATGGTTCCCAATCAAATGTATCCCACACATCATCTAGTACGAGTAAGTACCTCTTCCCATTGAGCTTGTCGCGAAGCTTTTTTACTATTGCTTGACTTTCCGACAAATTGGAAGCCTCTCCATAAAGAATCTCAACCATTTTCTTCAAAATATCGATTTGATCAAAGCTATGAGAGACCACAAGCCAAATAACATGAGAATTGAAGCATTCTATCACTTCTTGTGCCTTAGCAACTCGTTTGCTCAATGCCGTCTTTCCTAAGCCTATCATGAACATGTGGAAGGTATTAGTGTTCTAGTATATATTTTTCTTACCAAACGTTGATACATAGAAACACTAGCTTCTTAGAATGATGATCATCTTTTAAGCTCTTTTACTTATTTCTTATTAACAAACAATATGATTGGAATGATTTATTTATGTGTCACTTAAATCCCTGTTTATATCTACTAACATATAACAAATAACCAAAATTAGCTAAAATATTTCCAAATTCAAAGTGATCAAATGTTTTGTTTTGAATCAAAGAAAATACAGAGTATATAAAGGAAGTAAAAAAAAAAAAAAAAAACACTTTGTATTAATCTTGACTTGTAAACTTACCAGCCAAGCCCACAATTCCAACAACGTTTAAATCTGTCGCGGTGTCACTAGTGTCACATAACAACCTAACAAGCCGAGTTATGTCCTCGTCTCTTCCAACAAGAAACCGATCATCCACCCATTGTCGCCGGTTTTGTTGTGTCCTGTTTTCAACCTCATCACCATGACATCTTGACGTGCTATTATTATTATTATTATTACCACTAGCAACTTTTATTGGTTTAAGGCCAATAACCTTAGCATCACTATATATTTTATCTATCAATTTCCTCAACTTCTTCACCCTACGCGCCATATGATAGCGCGAAAAGGAAGAAATAACTCCATCTTTGAGCTTGCCTCTAGCCTTTCTAGTCCGGTCTCTACGCTTCAAAGCATCATACGAACACTCGTCGAGTAAATCATCTGCTTCGTAGGCTGCATCGTTTACCTTGTTGAGCCAATCATTTACTAGGCTATTGTTGTTGTAGGATTGAAAGGAAGCACCCTCTAATAATAAACTTAGTGTAGTGAACTGACTTTGTAGCTCCTTTAACTCTTTCGTGTAATCCCATCCTAGCTTGATTTCGTCGGCGATACGTGACAATAGTAGTGCAAGCATTCCATGAGTTTCTGATGCTATTAGTCCACCTACTGCGTTTTCCATTATTCCACTCATTTTGCTCCTTCAACAACTCTTCCAAGTTCATTTGTGATCGATCACCAAGCTGTCGGTTTCGCAATCGCTAATCACGGGTTGTTGTAGCATCAAGGGGGAAGATTAAGGATTTGAGTTTGTGGTGAGAAATTGAAAATGGCGTGAAGGGAACAAGCTAAGGAAGGCAATTAACTAGTGAGGGAGACTTTTGGAGTCATAGTCTATTGAAAAATGTTATTTGAATATTGTGATTGTGAATAATTGGATCATTAGTGGTTAAAATCAAAGTTGGTTGTTGAAAATAAAATAAAATAAGTATTATTCTCAAATGTTGACTTTATGGCTTACTTTATTGAATGGTTAGTTTGATTTTAAACGATATCATCCATACGGAGCTAAGTGGTCAATTACGGCTGCATCATATCACGATGTGTTTACATTTAGATCTCGTATCTAAAGCTGCAATGGCTTAGCTTTGGCCATAAAATAAAATTAATGGTATGTTCTGATTTACTGAACTAAACTAAAATAAATTGTTTATGAGAGAAAAAAATTAAGAACTGAACTAATTGGAGTTGAACTAAACTGAAATTAAGCTGAAGAAAACAACCCTAAGTACGGAGTACATTATACACATCATACAATTTTTTTTTAAAAAAATACTTTTAATACTGTCATAGTGTTGAAACACGTTAATTTACAATGGATTAAAAATTGATATTTATAAATATTAAAAGAGTCGATATTTACACGCTTTACTACAACAAACTCCTCAAGTAAATGGTAACAGTCTAGTTGGTTACAATCTTGAAAGATAAGAGTAGTACTTCGTATTGAAAACCTATTTACAAACATGAAACATCGTCTAGTATAAGAGATTGTTATATACACTCAATGTACGGTGTACGGTGCAACCGTGCAACTATGAGAATTTTGCTGTCGTTAGTCTGTAGCACCATATAGAAGTTGGGCTTCTTCAAATCATACCAATCCAATGGGCCTCTTCGACACAGTTAACAGGCTTGGATTCGATTAACCTGAAAGAGAACAAGTACGAAACTCCATTGTTGAGCTTGGCAATGCTTTTTTCTCCTTCAATTAATACATGAACATTAAACCAAATTCTACAAACAGAAGTGCAAATATCAGAATTTATTCGAGGTATTTTTAGCTTTAGTTTAGGGTTAAGTAATATTTTCCTTCAATGGTTGATTAAGTTGATATATCTGTGATTATTTATAACTAATAAACCTTGTTTACTAATTACTGGGTTTCAGGAAATAAGGAAAACCATGAAAAGGGCATTCAAGATCAATAGTTTTGTTAATAATTGGGTAATTAAAATTTCTGGGTTCTGTTAGTTTATCAAAGCATTGGAATTTATTGATTGTTTTCAAACTCTGAGTGTTCTTAATTTCTTTTTTGGGGGGATTATTGATTCAATTAATTGAATTTTGCAGAGAAATGTAGGAATTAGGGGTTTTTCAGCATTGGCTGGAAAGGGAAAAGGGCTGCAAATATCTGGGGTTAAGGATATTATAGCAGTGGCTTCTGGTAAAGGTGGAGTTGGCAAGTCAACCACTGCAGGTATTGCCTCTTCCTCCATTCTCTCTCCTCTTTCTCTTAAAATTATATTGGAATTTTGTTAGGATGAATGAAGGAGGAAATGGGGTTTTTGGCTGTTGATACCTTTTGATGAATTTTTATTTGGTTGCACATTGTGTAGTAATTGGTTGATATTGGGATTGATAAGATAATTTAATTGCTAATTGATGATCTCAAGTCTCAAACGTCGGCTTGTTTTTAAGATGTCGACCCGTGGAATTTTGGAGTTTGTTGTGTTGATATGGAAATTGTCTGTAGGGTAAATGAAGCATGGGAATGGAAGTGATTGATTTTCAACATTGCAATTTTATAGTTTTTTAATGGCAGCCAAATTGTGAGTAAGTGACTGAATATTAGCTCCTTTGTAAGGTGTTTCGAACATTAGTGGCAACATAAAGGGGAAATGCTTGTTTCTCTGCACCAAACTAGGAGTAATGATGTTGAACATATTGTAAAATGTTTTGGGTTACTGTAGATATCATGATATGCAAGGTTTCTATGAACTTTGTTCACATGTTCCGTCCAGATACTCAGCAGTGAGGAAAGTGGATGTTGTATTGTTATTAATGATAATTTTTTCATGGAGTGTAACTAATTGTCCATTGATGCCACTACAGTCTACAGTGTGGTGTTCACGTAGTAGTACCTTAATATGAGATCCGCTGACTCTTGTTATGAAGCATCAGAGTATTAAGCTAGTAACTCCTATAATGACCAATTACAATAATCACTGAGGCATTAGTAATGACTGCATCAATTATCTATCTGTTTTTAGCTCATTCTTATTTTATTTTATTAAACTCTTAATATCGGCTTCTAGCTTAGAATTTCAGTTTGGAGGAGTAAATTTGTTTTAAAAAATGGCTTTTCTCTTTGCTAGGTCTTCATTAGATGTTGCATCCTTTGCATATATTAGTTAGCGTCATTTTTAATCTACACCTCCGCTGATTCTTCAGTTTGGGTCACACTCAAGGAGAAGAATTGGAGGGTGTTTCATTTATCAGTTAAAAAAAAAAAAAAACAACAACAACAACAAAGACTTGATTCTAAAAATTTATTTCCTTTCCTTTGGGGTGGCTGGCATGAGTGGATTTTTTCAAATACTACATGTAATTTCTACTATGACATTCTAATTAAATGTTTTGACCTTATTTTGAAGAGGAATAGAGTCATATTAGAAACTTTGCTAATATAGCTGATATGTTTTTGTGTGATTATTTAATTTGCAATTAATTTGGCTGTTGCCCTTGCTAATAGATGTCAGCTTGCTGTTGGTCTGCTTGATGCTGATGTCTATGGACCTTCTATCCCTACAATGATGAAGATTCATGGAAAGCCAGAAGCCACTGAGGGTGAGTTTTTAGTTCTGTGTAACATGTTATAAATTCTTGGTGTATATGTAAATAGACACTTTCCTTGGTTGATTTCTTGTCTATCTCTATATAGTTCATACATCATCTTCTTCTGGTTGAGGGGCTCTTTATGCTATGAGCATATTATCTCATAATGGATATAAATTATTTCCTTTTTTTGCTAAATTTTTTAGATTTGAAGATGATTCCCAAGGAAAACTATGGAGTAAAGTGCATGTCAATGGGATTGCTTGTGGAAAAGGATGCACCAATTGTTTGGAGAGGTCCCATGGTACATAACCCTGCATCATATGCTTGTATTATCTTTTGATTCTGGCATCAAACTCTGGGTTTCATCTTGGCTTGACTCTAGTCTTTCAGGTAATGAGTGCTCTAGAGAAAATGGCCAAAGGAGTTGATTGGGGGGAGCTTGACATTCTTGTGGTTGACATGCCTCCTGGAACTGGTGATGCTCAGCTGACTATTTCTCAGCGGCTGCAATTATCAGGTACTTTCATTTTGTAATTTGTTAACAGTTTAGTGTAAACTGTAAAACCCCAACATTTGTTTGCGGGCTTATGCATAGCATCATCACTTATATCATTAAGCGTAAATAAACTCAGCAGATTAATCAAGTCAATGTATCTTTGTAGTGAAGAATCTTTCTGTTTTGGCCCCGCCTGGGGTGTTGGGGTATTCAGGAGGCGGTGACAGCACAGTGTTCACTGTGATGTCATTTAAACTAATATGTTTTGCTTCCTTTGGTTGCTTAGGTTAGTAGTCCAGCTTGAATTATTTCGCCTGAAATGTAACTTTTTTGTTTTTTCTTGTATAGGGGCTATAATTGTCTCCACTCCTCAAGATATTGCATTACTTGATGCTAGAAGAGGTGCTCACATGTTCTCCAAAGTCAATGTTCCGGTATGATTAACTCTTTTGAAACTATTGACTGCTCTCCTGAATCGCTCAATGTGATAATATTTGAGCAAATATGGAACATTGATGCTTTTGGCCGTGTTGAAATTCTGTACATAGGACTTAATATATTTCAAGAATGGAAACTCAAGCTTTCCTAAGGCTGACCAATTGTTAAACTAATAAATTCTCTTCTGCTGCTTATTTGTTTCATCCTTTAGGTTAAATGATGTTTACTGTCCTCTGGTCTTGATGACCATTTGTGTGCTCTTTGGTCCTCTAGTTAAGTAGATCCCATGATAAATAAAAGCATAATTTTACCGTCACTGTTTGACCATCGTCTTGATGGACAGTTATAGTCTAGTTGGTTACCTGTAAGTATCTGTTTCTGTTTGGTGTACCTCTGAGACAGAATCTGTCAGGACGATTTGCCTCTTGAGAGTTGGGACTAAGGAGATTTGCAGTTTGCTGATTAATTGTAATGAACTGAGATCAGTCCCACAGCAAAACCAATATACAGCAAGAATTTTTTATTTTTAACTTGTAGATTAATAAAGATTGAAGCTTGGTATTAATAGATAATGGTGGGAGGATTACAAAACGATGTTAATAGCTTGAGGCTATCACACTTTTAATAGCTTTAGGTTATCACTTTCCAAATGGCTTTAGGCCATGACTCTCCAAGGTTTCCCTTCATTACAAATTTCTGCTTACTCTTTTCCTTTCCCTCCTCCATCTATTTATACTAAAGCTAAAGACTCTAACCTAATAATATTAGACTTCCCAAATTGCCCCTCCTAAGGTTAGTCTATTACATTAATTTCTGTGTTGCTTGTCAGTTATATCTGTTTAATAGTACAATAATGTATGGGCTTTGGTTTTCCCTGCAGATTATAGGAATCATTGAAAACATGAGCTGCTTTATGTGTCCTCACTGTAGCCAACCTTCATTTATCTTTGGGGAAGGAGGAGCAAGGAGGACAGGATCTGAATTGTCTCTTGAATTTCTTGGTGATGTAAGTGATTATCTTTTCGAGAACTTTAGTATGAGGAAGCTATGTCCTAAATTTTTCTTTTTGGAATCATAAAGAATCAAAATCTTAGTATTGTTCTTTTGTATTTCTACTGTCAGAGTCTCAAGTCCATTTCTCCCAGCAAATGCTTGGGTTGAAATTGTTTTGGGTTTAATTTTGTTTGTGTTGCCTGTCAGTTGATTTCTTCCCCTCACCCTCTCTGCGTGGGAACTGAAACATGTTACGTGTAATACTGGTTGATGAACTTGTGTTTTACAAGACCAGCCTTAGTTCATTAGCATCAAACAAGTTTTTACCTGTCCTGCCTATGAGTTATGGTATAAGGAAGATCTCTTGGTGCACCAACTGCATATTTCCTTAGAGTTGACGAGGGAAAAATATCAACATCCAAAAACCTGACCTACTGATAGTTAATCTCGATTTTAATAAATCCTGCAAGAAGTTCTGAGGAAACTGCCTAAAAATGGGTAAGCATTGTCATGGAATTAATTGTGCTAGAAGAGAGGATGTGTTTTCCAACTGATTGAGTGTTTCTGTCTTCATTGGAGATAACCAAGCCTGATCTCTAAGGCTCAAAGTGAAACCCCAAAAGTGTAGCTGTGAAGATTATGCTTGGTTAAGGAATGATAGATGAGATTGTGAATTATCGTATGCCCTCAGTCCCTAGAAAAAAAGTTTGCCCTTTCACAATATCCTAATCGTGCCTGACAGTAACAATTACACTACCTTGCCAACACACCACAATACCGCATGTGAGTACTTCACAGTGTCCTCATTTTGTCAGTTTGTGTGTCTGTTACTTAGCCCTGAGTCCCCTATTCTTTGCTCTCAGCCCACTCTACCAATATCCAATTATCCCCATGATTGAAAGATAATGTAACTATATACAGATATTATGTTTTTAGATGGATTTTGACTATGATTTTATTTCCTTAAAACATTTTTACAAGTTTATGTTATAACCACCATTGCAGATACCCATAGAGATGGACATTAGAACTTGCTGTGATGATGGTGTCCCTATTGTAATATCGTCACCAGATTCAACCAGTGCCAGAAGATACACTGATGTGGCTCAGAAGGTTATAAAGCGACTAGAGGAAATTTCAGAGAAGCAATTTAGCCCTGAAATTTCACTATGATTTTCAGGACTTGCAAGACAAATTTCCAGTGCTCTGTGACCTTGTGCCTTTCTGAGGAAAAAAGAGAGGGATGGTGGGGGGGGGGGTGTTGGGAGCGTTCGGGTAGATCTTGTAGTCTAACAGTATTTTTGTGCAGTCAGAAAATTCTAATATCAGGGTCTACATGTAATCAAATCCTCTTGTGTGGTAACTATGGTGTGCAATCATGGTATTGCGCTTCAAAATTCATGGGGGTTACCCCTCCAGTTTTTAATTGTCTCTGTATTTACTTTTCAAGTTTTGTTGAAACGCCTTCTATTTACCTGAGTGTTTAAGTTTTCAGCCACAATTGTTCCAGATTGCTGCTCTTTATAGCTCGATACAATTTCCTCTTTGGCTACCTCATTGCTAATGTTCTTCAATACGCTTATGCCATTTCATTGTTTTCATATCTTCAACTAAACCATGTTTATACAGTTAGCAAGTGGCTGGTGATTGACGCCCTTAATGCTCTTTACGTTCATTGCTTGGCTACCACTTTACTAAACTAGGATACCTTACCTTTTGCTATAGGCTTACAATGATAAACAATAGTGATGTAAACATGATTTAATCGTAAATCACATATACCACTCATACCACCTTCAAGACTTTAACCAGCTAAGCCAACTTAGTGTTGATGAAAGTTACTACTTACTACGGAGTAATAATATCATCTTATGTATATCTCAAACACTAACACGTGTTGCCATAAAAGGTACATACATAGTACTTACTAGAAAAGGAATCGTGCCTGTTTGCCACAACAAAAGCAACTGAAAGATGTTTTGTTTGTCATTACATCGAATAAAAAGCCCACAAAAAAGACCATTTTAACTTCACTATACTAGTACTAATAATCACACTTTTCTGGGCTCTAAAACTCCATGCATTTCAGAACTTGAATTCAATTCACACTTTCTCTCTCCTCCATCTTCTTCTTCGTTGAGTGAGTTGTTCTTCCCCAAATCAATCAAGCCTGAATGCATCACCTCATCTTATCCCCCAAATCCCTAATTTCTTCTAATGTCTTCTTCCCCTCACTCCCTCTCCTCCCTCCTACAAACCCTAATTCAATCATCCCCTCAAATTCTTCTAAAACCCTCAGAAATTCCATCGTTAATTGCAGAGGAATTGAAGTTTCGGTCCTAAGTAATCACTCCAATTCGCCCAGTTCTTCGAATTATAATGGCTCAATTGGAAATGAGAAGTTGAGAAATGTAGATGTTAAAGATGTTGATATTGCGACGCTTGGAAATCTTTGCGTCGACATTGTTCTTAATGTTCCTCAGCTTCCCCCGAAGCCATTGCCTGAAAGAAAAGCTTACATGGATTCCCTGTCTTCTTCTCCTCCTGATAAGGTATTTTTCTTTTTCTTTTATTTCACATTTTCTTTGATTTTCATTTTTTTGTTAATTAAAATATTTTATGTGGTTATTAATGAATAGTTTGCTTAATTTTTGCTGCTTTAATTTAAGTCTTTGGGTATTTATATTGATTATACATTAGCAAAATGTTAGATAACAATGATTAGCCTCTTTTTGGAGCAATTTTTGTAAGTTCCTTTATTATAATATGCTTATGCCATTTCTTGTTTCATGAAATATCTTATGCCAATTTAATCCCAAGAAAATATAATGGGAAAGAGGTTTTGTTGGTTGAGAATGGAGCCTATGTTTTTGCTCCCAAATGGAAAGAAATTTAAGGGAAAATGAAGAAATGAAAATTAAAGGCTAACTTGAGTTTGTTTGATTAAGTGCTAGTATATTTTAATGGCATTGGATAATTGTGCTAGTTGTGCCTGGGTATGTTCCAAACTACGCGTACGTGATTCACCAGCTCCAAACTTTACTGGTTAACTAATAACTTGATTATCCATGGGCCATGGCAACTGATGGTTAATGTCTAATCTTATTGCTGCCAAGATTTTAGTATAACATATTACTCCTTATCTAGTTCATGACACAAAGATTCATTGATAACCCATTTGGTAACCACTTATAAAGTTATAATAGTTATAAATAGCAATAATATGAACAGATTTACGTTAAATTTGGCAAGCAAACTAACATTCTAATGTCCATAGTAAGGCTTTCTCATCCCAAACTTGTGTTTTTCTTCATAAATGTCCGTTACCACCTAATACAGCTTTTTGGTTGAACTAGCATTACCACGGAAATAAATATTGATTTTTCTTTCAAATTTATATGCTAATTCATTCCCATTACCATAATTTATTATTACTTACCAATTGGGCCATGATGGTCAATACTCCCTCCGTCCCTTAATATAATGCCTCTTTCTCTTTATTATTTGAGGAATAAATGCTCAAGAGGCATTGTATTAAGGGACGGAGGGAGTAGCATTTAAACTTTAGATTATAAACTGAAGTAGCCCCTCCCCCCCCCCCCCCATTAAAAATGGAAGGATTTGCTACTTTGCTTGATATAATACAGATTAGAATCCTGCAAGCATGTTCTTGCTTATAGAGTAAGATGTCAGTGGTATTAGAAAACTCCCAATGCTAGAAATTAGGAAGTTTAGGGCCTTTCTTTCTTCTACAGCAATTTGTTTAAAACCTTGCTAGTATAAAAGCTTAAATTCCATGGAGGTTGAGCTTTCCAAAAGGCCAGAATTAGAGTTCTTTCATTGGAGAAGTTTTAACTTTGTGATTTTGTTAGCTTCTTTGTCTTATATAGAGTTCTTTGTTGCTTTCTAAATGGTTTACGATTGCTTGATTAACATAAATTCAAAATTGGTGAAGTTTTTACTTTGTGATTTTGTAAGCTTCTTTGTCTTATATAGAGTTCTTTGTTGCTTGCTAAATGCTTAATGATTGCTTGATTAACTTTTATATTTCTTTTCTTGACTGTATTTCTGAATTCTTACATTGGTGATCATATGTTTATCCCATAGCAATATTGGGAAGCTGGTGGCCACTGTAATACAGCCATTGCAGCAGCCAGACTGGGACTACGATGCCGTGCTATTGGTCATGTGGGTAATGAAATCTATGGCAGTTTTCTTCAGAATGTGCTAGATGATGAGGGAATCGGTTTTGTGGAGATGGTTGATGATCTTGAAGCTGTTAAGAGTGCAACCGAAGCTTATCAAACCCTCCTTTGCTGGGTTTTGGTGGATCCTTTGCATAGGCATGGTTTTTGCAGGTTTGTGTACCTTAAGTGTTGTTCTGGATAGATAAAGAAGTGATGAAGCTTGATTACAATTTGTTCTACGTGCTAGAGAGTAGATTATCTGTTGTGAATATTTAAGACAAACGAAACAGAATGACATGACATTATAAAATTCATGATTTAACTTTCACTTTACTTGTTAACTAAATGTATGTTTTCTCTATCAGCCGAGCAGATTTCAGTGACGAGCCTGCTTTTAGTTGGATAAATGAGCTCTCAAGGGATGTAAAATTGGCTATTAAACAGTCAAAGATTTTGGTGGTCAATGGGTATGGTTTTGATGAGCTCTCCCCTGGTTTTATATTGTCTGCTTTGAAGTATGCTGTGGAAGTTGGAACTTCTGTCTTCTTTGATCCTGGACCAAAGGGAAAATCTTTATCTATGGGATCTCCTGAAGAACAAATTGCCCTTAATGAGCTTTTGAAGATGAGTGATGTTCTGCTTCTAACTTCTGATGAGGTTAAAGCTCATAAACTTACCAGTAATCTACATTACGCGTCTAAATTTATTCCTCATTCTGAATGTTGTGCTTCCTCTGCAAAAACCTCATTTGGCTCTTTATTGGACCCTTTTTAGGCTTTAGGCATGCGTTTGTTTGCTTTTTATAAATGCTTTACATCACCATGCTGCTGTATCTATCATGGCTGCCTGTTTGTAACGTGTGTATGCAAACAATTTTTTAGGCTGAATCCTTGACTGGCATTGGGAATCCAATTTTAGCTGGGAAAGAGTTGCTCAAAAGAGGGTCAAGAACCAAATGGGTCATCATCAAAATGGGATCGAAGGGTTCAATACTTGTCACTTTTTCTGGGACATCTTGTGCCCCATCATACAAGGTAACATTTAGTCATCTAAAACTTTGTGAAAAGTAGTTTATACTCTGTATACCCAAGATGCTGCTTTAAAAGGATAGAAAATTGTCTTCACCTTCTGCGCTTTTCATATGCTGAACAATGATCGTTAAACAAGTTTCAATGAAAGAGAAATCTGTTCTTGGCTGCATGTTCACATATACATTTTTGAACTCTCATTACTTTATTGTGCATCTGTCCAACTTAGAGAGAACCTAATTTGAGGGATGCCATCATATATGATGTCTGAAAGTGTTAACTTTATAAAAAAATTTCACACGCAGTTGTAAATTGAAAGGAGTGTTGTCATCAATTCATAAAACATTAAACTACCTATGGTACATACCTTAAGCTGTAATGTGATGAAGATCAACTTGTGTGTGATGTTTATGACCATGTCAACACGTGTGGGGCTTTGCTCTAGGCTCAATTTAATAAGCTTTGGTGCAGATAACACACGTATAATGTGCTGTTTAAGATAAAGAAATACTGAGACTAGGATTTTAAGTGTTTATATTCCGCACAATGAGTACTATGTTTTTATGTTCAATCTGCACGCAGATGGCTTAGACCTCAAGATTAATGATATACAATCAGTACAAACCAACAAACAAACAAAAAAAACTAAGCCCCTACTCTTTGCACAAACCTACCTTCTATGGTGCACATACTATTTCCATGTTTCCTCTTTCATAAATCTACTGTGTAACTGTGTTAACCTACAGGAAATCTCTTCATTAAATTTTCTTTCTAGCTCCTTCTTTGTAGCTCCCCATATTAGTAGCAAAAAAAAATATCATTAAACTACCTGCTTAACTAGACTTTTCTAGCAGTACTTTTTAGCAAATTTTCATGTTTGGGTTCCCCACATTTTGGGTTGATGCTGCCTTTTTTGTAATGATTTTCTGGTCTTGTTGCCAAATGTGTTTTGACTATATAAAGTACTGTGAAAAGCTGTCCTTATAGAACTTGTTATTGTATAAAGGTTTTTCTTTGTTTTGTCTTTATATAACAGATGAATACAAGTTGCTACCATGAATGTTTCAGGTGAAGATCATTGACACTGTTGGCTGCGGGGATAGTTTTGTAGCTGCTGTGGCATTTGGTTTCGTGCATGAAATGCCTATGATTCACACATTAGCTATAGCTAATGCAGTTGGTGCTGCCACAGCTATGGGTTGTGGTGCTGGCAGGAATGTTGCAACCTTAACAAAAGCAGTGGAACTCATCAAGGCTGGTGATCTAAATGAGGATGACAAATTTTGGAGGGATCTTCTTGATAAATCT